ACTTCAGCCCGTGACTAAAGCGCCATAAAGCCACAACTTGTCAGTGTGTATTTAAAAGGTCACTTATTGTCATGGAAACACATGTACGATAAAGGGCGTTTTAAAGGTGGGAGTAGAAAAAATGTATAAAAATATACATTTTTCAGTTAAACGCGTCTTTTTAAAAAAAATTTTCGTAACAAATATAGTTATTATAATATTATTATAGGGTGACGTTCACAATATCGAAATTCATTATATCGAATTCAAAATATCGAACACTTTTTATCGAAAATCAAAATATCGAAAATACAAAATGTCGAAAATCAAAATATCGAAAATTAAAATGTCGAAAATGATAATATCGAAAATTAAAATGTCGATTTGAAAATGTCGAATAATTAAAATTTCGAAAATTAAAATGTCGAAAATGATAATATCGAAAATTAAAATGTCGATTTGAAAATGTCGAAAATGATAATATCGAAAATTAAAATGTCGATTTGAAAATGTCGAATAATTAAAATTTCGAAAATTAAAATATCGATTTAAAAATATCGAAAATTAAAATGTATGATTAAAATCGAAGTGTATATGTACAGAGGCGCCTCTGTAGATAAAGTTACGGTTATGCACCGAATTATCTTGGCTCCCTGGCTCCTAGAGATGCGCGTTTTATAGAAATGTACTCAAACTCAACAACACAACCCAACCGACCCCGCCCCATTGGCCCCCCCCCCGCCCCATTGAGCAAAAAACCCAACTAAAATGGGCAAATTCATGTTACGATAAAAATAAAACACTTTTTAATTACATAAATTAGCCCATTTTAGTTGGGTTTTTTGCTCAATGGGGCGGGGGGGGCCAATGGGGCGGGGTCGGTTGGGTTGTGTTGTTGAGTTTGAGTACATTTCTATATCAGAGGCGCCTCTATACATATACACTTCGGATTAAAATAATATGTCGATTAATTGAAATATTTAAACAAAATTTCAAATTCAAAATAAGAAAATATGGTTTAGTTTCACATTAAAATTCGATTAAATAAAATTTCGATATTATCATTTTCGACATTTTAATTTTCGACATTTTGTATTTTCGATATTTTGATTTTCGATAAAAAGTGTTCGATATTTTGAATTCGATAAAGTGAATTTCGATATTATGAACGTCGATATTTTATTTTCGATAAATTGAAAATTCGATTAAATAAAATTTCGATATTATCATTTTCGACATTTCAATTTTCGATATTTTGATTTTCGACATTTTGTATTTTCGATATTTTGATTTTCGATAAAAAGTGTTCGATATTTTGAATTCGATAAAGTGAATTTCGATATTATGAACGTCACCCATTATTATATATAATAACTCAAAACAACTAAAAAAGTAAAAGTCGGCCGACTTCTTCGGCTTCAAACAGATTAATTAATCAACTAATTAATTTAGTTTATAGAGGAGCGCACAGTCTAAATATTTTGCAGTTAAAGATAGTTCACACAAGTTGGAAAATCTCAGACGTTTTAAAGTTTAAATGCAATTTAATACTTATTTAACACTTTCTTTTACGAGCAAAAGAAAATAATTTCCCGAAGGAAAGTTTTGAAACTTTATTTTAGTAGTAATTTTCGCTATTAAAAATAACTAAAACAAAAGTCAAATGTTTTATAGAAAAAAATTATTTATTTTGTTTTATATTTTAAACTGCCTATAAAATTTGTAAAGGTTTTTCCATTTTTATATTAGTTCGCATGGTTTATCGTTAAATATTTTACAATATTAAAGTTTGTTCCATTTACAGATTAGTTCGCATGGCTTAACATTTCGTAATTTTTCCTTATTATTTATAATTTTTCACGTGTGTAATTTTTTTAAATTTTTCAGGTTTTTAAAATGAATTTTAACCCTGAATTAAAAAAAGTTAATTTGTATAAATCTGACAACCATGTTATCAGTTTGTTGCCATTTTCGTATATTGACATATTTATTTAAGTGGAGCCGAATAATAATAATAATAATAATATATGTATATATTATAATAATAATAATATATGTATATATTATAATATACCCTATAGGGTATACGCTATACTTATAGTCGGCAAAATCGTGCCCAATGTTGCCAGGTTTGGTGAAAATTCATCAGATTTGGTGATTTTTTATTCATTTGGTGATTAGCTGAAAACTTTTTTAAAATGTTAAAATGTTAAATGTTAAATGTTAAATGTTAAATGTTAAAATGTTAAATGTTAAATGTTGAATGTTGAATGTTGAATGTTAAATGTTAAATGTTAAAAGTTAAATGTTAAAATTTAATGTTAAATGTTAAATGTTAAATGTTAAATGTTAAATGTTAAATGTTAAATTTTAAATGTTAAATGTTAAATGTTAAATGTTAAATGTTAAATGTTAAATGTTAAATGTTAAATGTTAAATGTTAAATGTTAAATGTTAAATGTTAAATGTTAAATGTTAAATGTTAAATGTTAAATGTTAAATGTTAAATGTTAAATGTTAAATGTTAAATGTTAAATGTTAAATGTTAAATGTTAAATGTTAAATGTTAAATGTTAAATGTTAAATGTTAAATGTTAAATGTTAAATGTTAAATGTTAAATGTTAAATGTTAAATGTTAAATGTTAAATGTTAAATGTTAAATGTTAAATGTTAAATGTTAAATGTTAAATGTTAAATGTTAAATGTTAAATGTTAAATGTTAAATGTTAAATGTTAAATGTTAAATGTTAAATGTTAAATGTTAAATGTTAAATGTTAAATGTTAAATGTTAAATGTTAAATGTTAAATGTTAAATGTTAAATGTTAAATGTTAAATGTTAAATGTTAAATGTTAAATGTTAAATGTTAAATGTTAAATGTTAAATGTTAAATGTTAAATGTTAAATGTTAAATGTTAAATGTTAAATGTTAAATGTTAAATGTTAAATGTTAAATGTTAAATGTTAAATGTTAAATGTTAAATGTTAAATGTTAAATGTTAAATGTTAAATGTTAAATGTTAAATGTTAAATGTTAAATGTTAAATGTTAAATGTTAAATGTTAAATGTTAAAATGTTAAAATGTTAAAATGCTACCAAACATACAATCTGAATCTAGAATTTTAATCTCTAATGTTTTAAAATCTGGTTACAGACATCAATACCTTAGATAGTTTAGGGAACTAAAATATTAAAATATTTTTGTCCAAAACTAAATTTTGGAAAGTGTGTAATGCCAAAAAAGGTTTTTTTCTTTCCAAACATTAAGTGGAATTTTACATAAAAAGTAAAATATTAATTTTAAACTGCTGTTTTAACTTTCTGGTTATTACAGATATTATTAAATCGCACAAATTATATTATGTATTAATAAATTTTGTTTTTTTATAAGAACAAGTCTGTAATAAAATGTGCTTTAAAGCATTGTATTTAGTTTCATTTAATTATTATATGAAAATATGCAAAAAATGCAAAATCTGGGGATTATTTATTTAATATGGCAACTTTTAGAGCAAGTGTCTGGTGATTTTAAGTTTTTTGACCTGGCAACATTGATCGTGCCATTTGCGATTTTCAGCCGAAAGCGAAATTTGTTATAACAAAATTTAATTTCGCTTTCGGCTCAAAAACGCAAATGGCACGATATTATGGCGAAACCGTAACCAAATATTCGGCCCCTCCTGTAGTTTCGGCTGAAACCGTAACTGAAATCGAAACTTATGTAGGTACCTAGTTAAGTTAAAATTTAAATAAGTTAGTTTAAACTAATTAGTTTAAATTTTAATATAGGTACCTTAAAATCTTGTTTTTTTTTCTAGTTTCCTAACAGTCTGTTAGTAACAGATATTTCGATTAGATTAAATAATAGTATAGCTTCCTAACAGTCTGTTAGTAACAGATATTTCGATTAGATTAAATAATTAGAGGTAGCGATATTATCGATAGTTTATCGATAGTTTCGATATTTTAAAAACTATCGAATTATCGATTCCATCGATAGTGACAGACTATCGTCTAGCGATAGTTGTATCAAAAAAATTATTATAACTATGGTTGTTTTTTATTCGAAATTTGACGACGTTAAAAATTTGGGGTTTTAGTTGGCAAAATCTAGGGACCCTAGATTTACCAACGGTGGTAATCCTAAGAAAAAACAAAAAACTGTTAAATCAAGTAAACTATCAAAATATGTGCTGCATATACCTATATATGATGTGCTGTCAATTATTTTATTGTTGATGTCATGGAGCCTAAACAAGAATCTTCTTAAGGAAAGTAGGCGCTGGTGTACCGTTTATTCTGAAACAATTGACTAATTTGTACCGAAACGCTACCAAAAGAGCAGATGTCAGTACGCATCAACAATCAGCGCCGCTGGTGGTGAACTTAATTTGTGCAATTTAGAGGGCAGATTTTGTCGATTTTCCCTATTAAGTTCAGGCTCCTTGTGTAGGCTCCATGTTTTGAAACTTGATAGCTATTATATAATATATAGATTTTGATAAAAAGGTTTTAATAACTAAGGTAGATATTTATATTGAAATACTATACTATATTTTTGACTCTCCTGTATTTGGTAGGTTAAAAATGTGCCACTATAAAAATACATCTTTTATTTTTAATAAAATAAAAACTATACGGTTTTGAAATTTTAGTTAACTATCGAGAGTTAATCGATATATCGATACTATCAAGTTTGATAAACAATTGTTAACAATTTAGTCACGAATTTTAATTATATAGGCGAGCTTGCGAGCGACCGTAGTCAATTCGCCGACCGGTTAAATAACGTTGATTTTGCATTGATTTAGTGTTTAACCAAAGATTAAATTTACTTATATTATATTTATGTATATTATATCTTTGGTAGGTAAGTAGGTATATTATGATTCATAATAATTTATGAATGTTAACATATACTTAAGTATATGAATGTTACATATATGTATATATACTTAAGTATATGGAATGTTAAGACTTACGGTGACATCTACACGTCGCATTCCAAACTTTCAAAAATTTCGAGGTTAGTTTTAAAAGATTTCTTCGAGTTATGTATTGCAAATTCGAATATTTGCAATAACTTCGCATGAAAATGAAGTTACCTTGCATGCCATCGGTTATATACCGCGCAGTTAACCTCACTATTCGCTCAAGGAAGTGCAGTGTTATTGATTATCGAAATTTCAGCAATTTATATTTAAACCCCAGAATGAGTGACAAAAAAATGAACGGAATTAGCAAAATAAACGGCACAGAAGGCAAAGCGCCGTTTCTCATCGGTGTTTCCGGTGGCACGGCCAGCGGAAAGGTAACAAAAATAGAAATTGTTGCATTGGAACATATTTTTATTGAGGAATGTTATAGAGCACAGTATGTAAGAGGATAATGGAAAAACTGGGACAAGTTGATATGGACCAGGCACAAAGACAAGTAATATGCATATCACAGGACAGTTTTTACAGAGAATTGACCCCCACAGAGATTTCCAAGGCTGAAAAGGGCCAGTTCAACTTTGATCACCCAGATGCTTTTAACGAGACACTATTATTGGAAACTTTGCAAGATATATTAGCTGGAAAAATCGTGCAAATACCTACATATGACTACAGACATCACTCATTGTAAGTTAAAAATATCTGCCCAAATAAAAAAAAAATTAGCCCAACTTATAGGTAGTAGGTACTTTTTTTGCGTAATTGTTAAGTACTGGAGGAATTCCAATTTATACGGTTTTATAGGTTTAAAGTCCAAACCTTCAAATATTCTTTACACATTTGTTTAAACAAAAGTATATCTTTAAAAAGTAGTCACAATGTGAGTCTCACATTCTTTTTCCAAAAGGTTAAAATGTTTATGACTAAGGTCAATTATAATTATTTTAGAAACAAGGATGAATTTTTGACAATATACCCAGCTGATGTGGTTCTTTTTGAAGGAATATTGGTCTTTTATTTCCCAGAAATAAGGAAATTGTTTCACATGAAATTATTTGTTGACACTGACTCTGATACAAGATTAGCTAGGAGAGGTAATTTTTGTTACTTGCAAACTATAATTTCATAATTTACACAAAAATTATTTTTTAGTTCCCAGAGATATTAATGAACGTGGAAGGGATTTGGAACAGGTTCTAAATCAGTATATGAATTTTGTTAAACCTGCATTCGAGGAATTTTGCTTTCCTGTAAGTACATTTTTAATCATTTTTTATATTAGTAGGTAGTAGTAAATATATTTATTGGAAAAACCAAAAGGCTATCAACCAAGGTCTTTCAGCCTAATTTTTTTTTATATTATTTTTATAGATGTTTGAATTGATAACAAATAACTGTACTATTATTCATGGACCATGAATAATAGCATGGTTGAATTTTACAAATAATAGTAGTAGCAAGGTTATCAAAAGGTGTTATTTATAGAAAATAAAATTTTATTTAGAATTAAGTACCTAGGTATTTTTTTTATACATTTGTGTTTTATTTATTTGTAATGTAGTTTAAAACATAAAAAAGCACAGCCTGCCGCGCATCTTGTAAATGGCCTTAAGGACATGCTTGGGATACTAGGGTTGGGAAAAAAGACAAAAAAAATGGGTAAAAATCTGTTCCCAGAATTTGGAAAAATTGGCTTTTTGAGAAAAATTATTTTTTTGGGAAAATTTTAATAAAAGTAGGAATCAACAACTTAACAATATTTTAAATTAAAAAAATATTTTTTATTACAGAAAAAAACAAATAAAACTACTTAATTTAATTTAATTGATTCAAGAAAATAAACCTAAACTTAAATATACTGTTGGTTGGGCCCTTTTTGCAAAAGAGTCCATTGAAAATATTTCATTCATTCATAATAATGAATGATTAATATTTATTAATTAACTTTAAAGTTACTTAAAAAAGGACAACTTTTATCATTTAGATTTAGTTACACTTTGCTTCTGAAAAGTACTTTAAGCACTTTGTGGATTTTTGCGGGCCCCATATTCTTACTGAAATAAAATCATAAGAACAATTATTAAAATTATAATTTTATATGATTAAAATCAAAGTCGGAAATTTACTTTTTTCTTAATATTATTGTACTGATATTATTAACAAAAATTTGTAAACTTTTGGAAAAACTGACTTTTCAAATTTTTTTTAAATTAAATCAATATTATTATAATGTTATCTCTTTTGACAATTGTTGGAATTGAAAGTTGAAATCTATCTTTGGATTCCAGCTACGGGAAATCCATTAGCCATCAGTGTCCAAACATTGGTCTCAAAAGTAATACTAATAAATATTTATTTTTTTACAATTTTATCAGATATTTACCTAATAAAATTGTTTACTAAGAAAAAAAATATCTATATATAAAAATATTAAAATTGTATTATACCTTTACGTGTTTTTAATGCATTTTGGGAATTAAACGTCACAAAAATTATTTTTGGCCTTTTAATTTTGCCATTCTGACGTTGTCTCTGTTTGCATTTCATGCATTTTATTCGCAAGTTGGCGCCTCCACTTTCAAGTATCTGGCAACACTGCTTCAATGCATGCAGGGAATTAGTTTCTACAGCAATAAATAATTCAATATCTTGATTTTTGCACTAACTTTGTGCTTTATCTATACACGTATTTATTAATAATTTAATTATATAATTTATTTAAATCCGGGAATTGAAAACTGCACATGAAAATAAATGTTTTGGGTAAATGAAAACTGCCCAAATTAGAACAAAATCGGATAATAATAAAAAAATTATTATATACATAGTTATTATATTTTCTGTGGTTTTAACAGTAGTTTTATTGCCAAAATCAGTTTTATAGTTCTATCTAAAAAATAATTTTTAATTCAAAAATTGTCATAAAATTGATTTTTTTAACTATTAAACTAGGTAAATTAAATTGTTTTAGTTTAGTTTTATTGTAAAAATCAATTTTTTACTCCTAAAAATATTTTTTTTTGGTTTTGAACAATTCTTATTGATTTAAAAAAAATTATATTTAAGTAAATATTTTGGAAAACTTTTCATGCTAATAAAATTTGCTCTCTGTAGTGAGGTAGTGCGCTTATATTCAAAACTTAAAAATAAACTATTAACAATCACTTAACCATCACATTGCAAACACTCTTCAAAACTGGCCTTACATTTGTTAAAACTGGTATATTTTGCATGGAATAAAATAATATTAATCTTTATTCAAAAAAGCATATTGGGCCACAAATACGACAATACAAAAAAATATAAAATTATAGTATACTGGTATAATACAAAATATAATACATCTATAAATACATAAAGTATAGATAAAATTAATTTACAATTGAAAATACAAAGTAAAGATAAAATAGAAAGTTATTAAAATAGGTTTCAAGATATACCTACTTATAACTTTAGTAATAAAATAAATCAAAATTTATTATTGTAAAATTCCTTTGTGGAGTAGAAACACTGACAAATTTATAAAATTTTAAATTTAAATTTTTTATCATTAATGTTTTTTTTGATGTGGAATGTGATTGTAAATCTTTTTTATTTTACTCTAAATTTATTTTGGACCATTGCATTCAGCATTTTGCCCTACATGTCCTATAAAACTGGTCTTGTCCTGAAATATCCTAAAATTTGGCATTTTTTGTTTTGTTAATATTTAAAATTGACCCATAAACCACGTGTCACATGATTTCGTCATGATAAAAACACCAAAACATCAGTTTGTGATCTGGGTTGCCTACTCTATGGTTGGGTGTTCAAAATTAGCGAATTGAATGATCAAAACAAAATTAACAATTAAAAAACTTTTTTATACTGTAAATAACACAATTTATAAATCGGACCTACAGAGTGCCTTTACTGCAGTAGAACTAAGCACCAAAGAAAAGGATCAGCTCTGTGAATTAAAGCTTCAAAAAAATGAAATAAACGACGTATTCAATCCAAAACATTGATACAAAACTACCCTTTATGACATAAAAATATATTGGTTTTCTTTTATCAAGATTGAATAAAACATTGTTTATTTTTATTTTAGTATGTATATATGTATAGTATATTTGTTATCCAAGTTTTTAAATTTGTCTTAAAATTTGTCTGAAATGCTAACATTCTATTAAGATTTGTACACTGCCCGTCAAAATTAACGCATAATAAGTAAAAAAATTCTAACGCTAAAACGCATTTACCAATCTTTATTAAATTTTGTATAAAAATACTTCAACTTATATCTCAGTTGACGTGTTCAAGGCTTTTTCGAAAAAATATCCTTAAATCCCTTTTTTTAATAATAAAAAAACGTTCAAAAATAACTTTTAGGGAATTTTTTTAAGTAAATAAAAATATGCTGTTAAAGACCGTATTTTTGGTAGTATTCCCTGAAAATTTTGTACAAATAAAACGAACAGTAACGAAGATGCAGCGTTTCAAAGTCGTCAAAAATGACCACTTTTCAGCAAAGTAATCAAAAAGGGGTAATTTTTACCGACTTTGAAGCGCTGTATCTTCGTTACTGCAGTTACATGTTTGTTTGATTTGTACAAAATTTTCAGGGTATACTAACAAAAATACGTTTTCAAACGTTTTTTTTTTTATTATTAAATAAAAGGGCTTTAAAAATATTTTCTCGAAAAACCCTCGAACACGTAAACTGAGATATTAGTTGAAGTATTTTTATACAAAATTTCATAAAGATTGGTAAAGGCGTTTTAGAGTTAGAATTGTTTTACTTATTATGCGTTAATTTTGACGGGCAGTCGCAAAACATGCGAGTTTTAAAAATTTAAGTTTATTTATTTGCAACGCGATGAATCTGAATAATATTCGAATTTTTATTTTATTATAATTATTAAAAAATCCATAAAATGTATAGTTTGTTTGTTATAACTTAATTATACCAAACCACTCATCACATATTGGTTGTGTATTTAAATAAAAACCATGTCATTTTTGTTTTTCTTTTCAGACCAAAAAATTTGCAGATGTAATCATACCAAGAGGTGCAGATAACACTGGTAAGTCATTTATGCAAATTTAAGAATTATACTATATGTGGTTAAAAAGGTTTTTATGTCAAAAATGAAAAAAGATTCCAAATATTTATTGTTTTTTTTAAATACAAATTTACTTACATTTGGGGTAAAAAAGATTTAATTCTGGTGTTTGGTAAATAGTCACTGCAATATCATTTCATCTTACACATTAATAATTTCATTATCCTATCAAGATATTCATTTGTGTTTTTAACATACTTTAAATGGTATTTTATTGCATACACAATAACAATAGATTTTATATCTTAACTAAATCCTTATTTTATTTAAACTTTTGCTGTAGCGTGCATGTTTTGTAATTCTGTAGTGTTTCTCATTTTTCTGTCTACATTATTATTGTTCATTCAGTGTTTTTCATCATTTGTAAATGTAGATGCCTATTAAGTTATTCATAAGAAAATTATTAATATGAAACACTGTATGTTAGCACATTTAGTTTTTCATTGTGTTTCAAAAAAATTTACCCGATTAATTTGTTGCAGTGGCTATTGACCTAATAGTACACCACATCTGGGATATATTACATGGACAAGGGCGAGAGAATGGCATTTATACAGTACCGATGTCTCCGATACGCATTTAGAAGTTTTTTGGTTTTATTAAATACGGATTTTTTGTTTGTTTTTTTTTCACACAGATCGTCACATTTTTACATAAAGTTTTTATACTGATTGGGTGGTTGAATCTGTGTAACATATACTTTTTATTAGCAAAGGAATCTCATAAACATTGTCTCGACAATTGCACTATAAAATTCTTAACTACATGACTAAAAACAACCTTAAAACCATAAAAAGTATGTGTTTAAAAGTACTACCACCCCATTTAGAAAATACCCTTTTTATGTCACACAGAATTCCCAATCAAATTTAGTATTAGCTTATTTTTGTAGTAAGTATTTTTTTATTTTAGTCATTTTTTATTGGGTTAATTTCTGTTATGTAGACCTAAAACTGCCAAATATTTTACTATAAGTATTTTTCTGGTTGAGACATTTTTCTCTTGACTAATTATTTTATAAAATTTAAATGTAATAAATTAGTTAATTTAGCATTTACTACTGAATATTTGATTGTGATAAGATCACTGCTTTGTAATAAATTGACAAAAAACAATTTTATTAAATTTCATAGCTAACAAGAAATTTAATTGTTATTTTGCTTTTGAAATTGGCATAAACAAAAGTGTTAATAGTATTAACTGTATACAATAATATACTAAATAAACCTCAGAGACATTACATACTACATAAAACAATTATATTTTATTTGATTGAATGTTTATGAAATAATAGCACGTATTATTATAAATAAGCAGAGAAGTGCTATTATTTCATAAACATTCAATTAAATATCTACTACTACTGCTATAAAATGGATCTTCAAATTAAAAAAAAATTAAAAAAATATATATTTTAGCAAATTTTAGGTACTAAATATTATCTAAATAAAATATGCCATTTTTTACTTTTGGCATTGTAAAAAGAACTTTTCCAAAAATGATGATTTTTGTATAACTTTTTACAGCTATTTTTTATTTTCATTGTTTATTTTCTTAAAATAACACAACATTTAGCTGGAAGATGTAATTTCTGTACCCTTTGGCTCTAATTTCCTTTTTTTGCATTATTTGCACAATGATTTCCACTGCAGGGTTTTTTTAATAGGGTAAAAATAAGACTGGAAAATGTAAAATGCACCATATAAAAAAACGATAAATATATATTACCTTAAAGTATGCACAAAATGTCAATTGAACCAATATAATATAACAACACATTGTGTATGTATTTTTATACCTATTAGTTTTATTTATGGAACACATATTATTTAACTCATTTATTGTTGTGTTTATTGTAGATATAATAATAAATATATTTAAATAGTGGATGATTTTTTCTATTTCAAATTTTATTAAAATTAATTGGCGCGAGTACAACAAATATAATATAATTTCTGACGAGTAGCTTTTTAAGTTATAATTAAAAAATAATAATAAATAGCTTGTTTACAATAAGGAAGTTAAAGTTTGTTTTTAAATCTTTTCATGCATAACTTAACAGAATAAATTTTTGTAATTAGTAATAGTAATAGTTATTATTATTATTATAGTTATTATTATTATTATTATTGTGCATTTTTAATTCAGCTACAAAATCGTTCATACTTAAAAAAATTTCCACATAATTTAGTATAAGGTCGTTTTGAGGGGTGGTAAATCCAATGCCGTGCATAGTTTTTTTTTTAATCGCTCATATTAATTCTTAAAAATTTAAGCTGGATTTATAGTTGGACGTAGACGTAACATAGACGCACTGCAAAAAGATCAAATATAGAATGTATGTACTCTTATTTATAAATGAACGTAAACGCAGACTTAACGGAAGAGTTGGTCAACTTTTCCGTTCCGTTTCTTGCGTCCGGCCAATCAAAAGAGATAATTATGTGTGCACAGCGGGTTGTCTTACTATGCTGTCACTTGTTCGATATTATCCTAGGGATATTATTCCAAAAATTTTGCCGAACTATGTACTCTAAAAATTGCATCAAATGTTATAAAAACCTAATCTCAAATTTGTATGGGACAATAAGCTTAAAGCAACCCCCGTTTCTACGACACTGTGTCCACTCAAACAATTATAATTATGTGTGAATATGTGTTTTGGTAGTAACCCTATTGTAAATGACCGATGTAAGGTTAGGGACGATGGCGTGAGAATGGTGGTTACAGCGGACAAAATAAAAAAAAAATTTGACATACATAATATTGATTTCGACCATGCCTACAAACATCCTTTGCAAGAAAGACAAAAAAATGATTATAACCGAGTAATTTTATATATTTTTTATTACTTTTTTTGAGTTAGTAAGTTATATGTATCAATACATATCTCACTAACACAAAAAATAATAAAGAAATGAAGTTATGAACCTACTCTGTTATAATAATTTTTTTGTCTCGTCTGTGAAAAATGATTTCTGGTTTTTACCCGGTTATTCTTGTGGGATCTTAATTATTTTTGAATGAAAAGTCAACTGGTATTTTTATTTCCAAATTTAAAAAAATAAATTGGTTCAAATTGGTTTGAATGGGTTTGGCGCTATGAATTACCAATTCATTCCATGTGCATTTATATTAAACCCAATTGGGTTTAGCCAATAGAGACAAGCAAAGGCATGGATTGGTATTTTCCGATCCAAACCGCTAACTTCATTGGAACTTACCAATAGGAATGCAACTGGAATGAATTTGTGATTCATAGCGCCAAAACACATTTCAAACCAATTACTTATTTTTTATTGGATTCTATTGGTCATTTACAATAGGGAAGTGGCTGTTCCAAGACTACCATATTAGAGGTTATATTAAAAAAACTTATATGATAAGTAACACTTTATCACCCTGTATCTTGGAAACCCAAGTAATTAGGAAAAATATTTATTTGGGTTTTCGTCTTATTTTGACTTGCTCAATCTTTTCCTAAATTTATGCCAATAAGTTTAGGGACACCTTGTATATTAAAAAATTATTAAATTCCACCTAGTAGTTATTTTAAAAAGTTATTTAAAACGATTTCCAAGGGTGTTCGTTATAAGACCGTATCTCCGTAGAGGGGGCCGTAGGAAAAAAAATTATAGGAACTTGTCATATTATTTTTATGTGTTATATTTGAATCCGGGAGATTGCCCACATATTCTGGGACACCCTGTATATATGTACACAATTTTAGCAGTTTATTTTTAGAAATAAAACAGATATGACGCTTGATACATGCACAAAATAATAGAGGTTAAAAAATAACTTTTATCTCCACGCGGTCTATAATTTAAACTTTATTGTTGTCAACATTCGATAAAGAAATACCTTGTTATGGCCTAGGCCGATAAAAATTTTTATGAGGCAACTAATTAGTTCGATTTTTTCTCGCTAGGGGTATTGTTTTGACAAATTAATCCTTTTCTAAGAAATTAACGTACTAAACTGGTTTAATTTATTTAAAATAAGCACTAATTTGTTTGTTTTACTGTTAATGTTTAATATTTTTCATTAAATTATTGTAAAATTAAATATGAATAATAAAACAAAAAGTGAGGTTAGGCAACCAAGAAAGAGCACGATTCTTTTTCTACGATTTAAATATCTTTAAGTTTTAATTTGCTTTAAGTTTTCAGTGAAATTAAATGTTAAACACAGCTTAAACATTCCAAACAACCTATTTTTTAAATAAAAATCCAAACAAATTGAAATTAAATACCTACCTATTTATTAAACAATTAATTGAATTCAATGTAATAGCAAAAATCCATTTCTACTTAAATCATGTAGCTAGGTATTGTCAAACTATTACTGCTTCTAAAAGCAATAATAATTATTGTACATTTAATGTAATCTTTAGCTAATAAATAAATGAGATTCTAAAAAAGTGAGGTTAGGCCGCTTTAATGTTGAATTAAATTGACCTATATAAAGTGCTTTGAAGATAAAATGTTGTATGCCATTCGGCCAAGAAGTGCCTTTACTTCTTAACCTAATGACATAAGTAACTATTTTACCTGCAAAGGATAGGAGGAAAAATGCGCAGAACTTAATTTTGCGTTCTCTGTCATCGTACACGTCATCCGACGTTCTTATGGATCCCCCCAACTCCCCAACTTATATGGAGTTGAAGCTCCTGAATATAGTCTTCTTAAGTATAGTATAATAATTCTAGTGTTATAGGTATAAATACCTAATATTCTGCGTGATTTAATTGCTACCTTAATTTTCAGTTGCCATTGACCTCATCGTACAGCATATTAGAGAAATATTGCTCAACAAGGGACGTAAATCTGAAGAAAGGACCCTTGTGCTGCCTTCGCCAGCTTTCGTGAGAACCCCCAATTCTTCGCCAAAAAAACACAACACAGCGGACGGTCTGTTTAAGCGGCCGCATTAAGGAGAACACGCTAGATATTTGTAGTTAGTATGCAGAAATCGTCTAAATTCGGCTTTAGTCTTAGTTTTTAACCATGAATCGTAAACAATGTCGAAAACCACGCACTAGGGATATGCAGGGATTAATTATACAATTTGCGTTGACTGCAAATGTACAAATAATACCTTATAGGTTTAAATTTAGATTACACTGGCCGACAAAATAAACATTTTTGTTTGCTGAGGGATAGCAAATCACTAAATTTTTCTCAAAAAGCCCTTTTCTTCTCGATATTGCGGAGAAATAAGTTTTGTTTAATATAAAACATATACTATACTATTCATATGAACCACTGAAGTTGTGTACACATAAAATTAATTTTATAATTTTAATTGTAAAATCTTGTTTAAAAAAAAATGTTTAAGAAAGTTTTCACTTTCACAATAATTTCAGTATAAATTTCAAACTATAACAATAAAAATAAACCAAATTTAAATTCAACCAACAAAATATTATGTTAAATGCTTAAAACTATTATTTAGGTAAACTATTTGGATGATACAAAAAATGAGTATTAAATTAAAATGTATCATAAAAAATAATTATTATGCCTAGACATAATAATAATTCGCTACTAAATGTATAAAAAAATTAATGAATGTTTTCACATAAAAAAAAACGTTTTTTCGCAATATCGCAAACCATTTTTGGGTGCAGCAAAATGGCTGTTGACCAGTTTTATTAAGCAATACTACAATTTTGATTTATTGGTAATACTTTAGTTTCTCTATTAGCGTCTATTTACTGTGCTTTAAAAATAAACTTGTCACTGTTGTGCTGCCATCCAACCTACGAATCGGCGTGATGCGTAATAAATATGGGAAAAGTAATATTTTTATTTAAACGTGAATACACTAAGGCGCAAAAAGATGTGACCTTTATACGTATGCAATTAATTTTTTTAAGAAATTTTCCTGTCCTGAATAACCCAAGAACATAAAAATTTTTGAAAATACACTCACAGGCAAAATAATCGATCCACACAAATTATCGATAAATTTCAATCGCAAATAACTTTTTTATTTGATGTAGGATTTAAACGAATATTAAAGAATATTGTAGATAAATTAATGGACAATCGCTCACATTTTAAAAAATTACTAAAAAATAGACGTACATTTACTCGTATAATATACAGGTTTAAACAAAAAGATGTTTTTTACCATAAGTTTAAGACACTCTGTAGAGTGGCAAAACCGTATATTGTTCTAAATTAAGTTTTATTTATCAAGTCACATCTATTTTTAACAGTTTTGCTTTTGGTTCACGTTGATATATTTATTTTTGTGGAAAATATGGATTTCTTTAAAAAAACATTGCAATTTCCAATATTTTTCTGTATGAAGAACTAAGGTTGCTATGGTCCATCCATAGGGTATGGAGAATGACAGTGACAGTTTTCTTGAATCATCTTATACTTGAACATGTCATACACGGCTTTCAAAACCTATCAAATTGTTTTTTGCAAATTAATGTTTAAATGTTCAGGTGTCTTCTTACTTTAAAAAATGGATATGTCTCCGACTGATGTTGCCAGAGCCAGAGCACCTCAAAATTAACACATTAATTTACAACCCTATTAAAAATGCCCTATAGAACCCATATTGATACAGATAAGGAAACTAATATGGATTTATATGGTTCTATATGTCCTATATGGAACGACCTGGTTTACACTTTGGAATCTATATGGTTTAATATGGAATTTAATTTTAAAATGTACAACTTAGGGATTTTTATATGGATTTATCTGGTTTCTGTTTTATGAGTTTTTCCATATAGGTTTCCCTATATGGTTGAATATGGAATTCCATTTTAAAATGTATATATATTTAAACGAAAATTGCATATTAAACCATATAGATTCCCCTATATGGTTAAATATGGATCTATAAGGTAATAATTTTTTCACACCCAAACCATATTGGGCCAGATAGAGCAATATGAACCTATATGGTAATCCATATAGAAATCACTTTTCTATATGGTTTTCCAGGTATGGAATTCTATCTGGTTCAATAGTGCAATGCCTGTTTCAAATTCCTATATTGAACCAGATAGATTTTTATTTTGTGTTTCTATATGGCATTTTTAATAGGGAAAAAACAATTTGATAGCTTTTGAAAGCTGTATATGACATGTCCAAGTATGGGATGATTCAACAAAACTGTCACTGTCATCCTCCATAGGCTATGGATGGACCATAGCAACCTTAGTTCTTCATACAGGAAAAATATTGGAAATTGCAATGTTTTTTTAAAGAAATCCATATTTTCCACGAAAATAAATATATCAAGGTGAACCAAAAACAAAAGTGTTTAAAATAGATGTGACTTGATAATTAAAACTTAATTTAGAACAATATACGGTTTTGCCACTATACAGAGTGTCTTAAACTTATGGTAAAAACATATTTTTGTTTAAACCTGTATATTATAAACGTACGTGTATTTTTTAGTAATTTTTAAAATGTGAGCGATTCTCCATTAATGTATCTACAATATTCTTTAATATTTGTTTAAATCCGAAATCAAATAAAAAAGGTATTTGCGATTGAAATTCATCGAAAATTTGTGTGGATCGATTATTTTGCCTGTGAGTGTACATTTGTTTTTTCCAAAATGTATTTACTTTGTATAACAACATAAACAGTAAATCTTTTGGCGTGGTCAGATGGCAGCACAGTTCATTTGTAAAGCATATAAAATAGATGCTACTATAATCTATAAAATAAATGGAATACTTCCTGATAATAATCATAATAATACGTATTTCAGGTATCTTATCTTTCTAAAAAAACCAAAATTCTTAACAATTACAATGCACATCACTTTATTGGCTCAAATTGTGTGTGCCTTTAAATTCGATTATTTAATAAAAAAAATAATAATATAATTTTGCCTTTGTGCAAATTGGTGCTAAACGTTATTTATTTTTAATAAAAAATTTACAATTAGTGTAGAAAACTTAACTTTATAACAAAAAATAAATTAAATAAGAAAAATAAGTAACTGAAAAAGTCGATATTTTTAAGCATGTTGTTTTGCCTAAAATTGTTTCAATCAAGTAGATTTTAATGTTAACAATAATTATTAGTGTATGAGTCAATCTATAGATATATCTAAATTTTAGTTACAAAAAGTACATTTCACATAAATTAACCCTAATCCAATAGCCAGAGCTGTTTAGAGTAAAAAGAAATAATAAGTACTTCAGTAAAAGTACTTTTAGAGAATACCAAGTACAAATATTTAAAAGTAGGTACAAAAAGGTATTAAAAGGTGCTAAAATATATTTTATGATTATTAATGCATTTCAAACTAAAATGTTTCATACAAAAAGGTGCTGTACATAAATTGTACTCTAGAGTACATTAAAAGGTTTATATCTGGATATAAAAAAGTTTAAATGGTAAAATATATTTAGCCCAAAAAATGTTAAAAAATTGACTGTACAAAAAATATAATTGGGTACAATCTTTATTTATATTTAAGTACTTAAGTACCATGCAGCTCTGAATATAGCAACAAATTTGGCAAACAGCTCAATTTACCAGCATAAAAGTAGGTACCTACTAATATTTATAATCATTTGGTTAGACATTTTTTTATAATGTAAAATTTTTGCTATTTTTGTGTGATAATATGTTGTTAATGATGAAACTTTGTTTTTATAGTAATCATTAAGTTTTACAGCTTAAAATTTTATTAATAGAATAGATATTGTTTAGAGTACTAATATGTTAATTTATTTTGTGATTTTCATGTTCTTTTGTTGTGATATTTTGACAAATCTTATATTTATTAAAATGTTACATTTTATAAATAAATTATTTTTCTGTTTGTAATAAATATTATTAATTTGTATACTTATGAGTTTCATTTATTAACTTACATTAAAATTACATTCATATATAAAAATTAAGCCTATTTACTGGTAGTATAATTCAATGTTCATTCCATCATGAATTTCATCTAAAAAAATGTTGAGGAAAATATAAAAAAATCATAATATTGGGTTGTTCTACTCTATGCATGCTTAAAAAAGGATACAATCTTGAATTTGGATGTGGTCTTTAAAAGTTGTGTACCATTTCTTTAAGACAATTTTATCCCATCTTGTACCAGTTTGCGCAGCAATTAACTTCTTCAAATCCCCAACTGTATCATCTGGATTGCATTTCACTCTCACTTTCTTGCCCAAACGGTCATTGCAAGTTATTTCAATCATAATGGCAATTTATATGCAGCAACCTATAAAAAAATGTTACAAAATAAATACATTAAGGTTAGGGCAGTACAAATATAGTACTTTACTGGATAAATGCAATAAAAAGTATTATTCTTGTTGATTCAAATAAAAACACAACCTACAAATCAATCTTTGACAGATAACCAGTTTGACTAACATGGTGGCTTTAAAAATCCCTAATTTTGGTAATAAAAACCCCCAGAATAATAATTGTAGAAAAGAGTATAAAAGCCTAAATAAAAATGCTTTTATTTAATTTACTAATGTAATAAAACAAGCAGTACATATGTTCCATTAAATCTTAAAATAAGTGTTTTAAAAATTCACATAACAAAAATCCCGAGAGCTAGGGAAAAATCCCTAAGTTGGCAACAATGAAACCTAATTTTTGGTTGTTTGGTACACTCTGCACAAAAGTAGGTGACTGCGTGGAGCTTTTGCTCTTGATCCTTCGAAAATGAATATCCCGAACGAATATGTGTCAAATGCTGAAGATATCGCAGATCAGGTAAATAAAATTATTATTTTCCCTAATCCAATATAAGTTTGTGTCAAAAATTTAGTTATAACGATTTGAAGAAAAAAATGTAATATTATTGTCACGTCACCTTTAAACTTTCGTACAATCCTGATAAAAATAATCAACAGGTTTTTTGCAATAAGCTGAAAAAGTGCTTTTTTCTCATGTATTTGTAGAGTATTAAAGTAATTATTATGTGTTTTAGTTTGAATTATTTTAGGTTAACTTCCACATATACATAAACCATATGGATAAACATTAAAAACATGATTTCCCTTTTACTTAAATTTAACACAATCATTTAAATCTCACATATTATTAAAAGTCATTAAATACTGTTACAGAGTACAAAGTAATTTTGAATAAAAAAAATAAAAATTTAAACAAATGTAGTCCCTGTAAGTATAGTTTTTTGACATAGATAAAGTAAAAGCATGAAGCATTCTCAGAATATGTCAAATTTACATGTTGCCAATATTTAACTTTAACCTTTATTCAAATCCTAAATCTTCTTTCAGGTTATTAGAAAACTAAAGCATATTTTGCCCACAATAGCTAGAGTATGTCTGATTTCCACATTTTTGGAAGATGGTCTTCGGATGTGGTTCCAATGGTCAGAACAAAGAGAATACATGGACATGTCATGGGGATGTGGCAAATTTTTGGCCACGATTTTCGTGTTAGTTAACCTAATTGGTCAATTGGGAGGCTGTGTTATGGTTATTATTAGATACAAAGTACCAATTGCCTGTAGTGTTTTGTTTTTTATTGTTATATTACAGGTAAGTTTTATATTAATAATTTTTAATCAATAATTATTGTCTTATACCTGTTATATTACAGGTAAGTTTTATATTAATAATTTTTAATCAATAATTATTGTCTTATACCCTCATAGAAAAAAATTGGTGATAATGTAATTTTGAACACAAGATTTCTGCTATTAGAAGTTTTGGGAAAGTTTTAGGACAATTAAGTAATTTCCAATTTTATATATATTTTATTTATATGACCATTTTTGTGGAAATTTTCATACTAACTACCTACTTACTTTGTTTTCCTAAACCGAAGTTTTTATATTATGTTTTTTTTGCTAAATTATATTTGGTTTTTTTGGAAAAAAGGGGCAAAATGCAACTATGTGAAAAAACCTTAAATAAAACAAAAAATTATAATTTTAATACAGTTTGACAACACAGCATGACGTCATGATGATCAGATACCTATACCCAACCTCAATTCTGCTGAAAGTGACCGATACCTAACCTCAATTTTACGATTTTTTGTTATTGAATCAACCATCGCCTTAGGGATACATTTTGTTTCCATATTGGTAACATTTGAATACCTAAATTAAAAAGTGTTTTCTATAATACCCTGTATATCAACATAAACTAACGAGGCGTTAAAATCCGAAATGTATTCCATCTCACCGCAGCGAATTGTAATCTAGAGTCCCGTCAGACGGTTCTCTATTGCGCTCCCGTTAACAGAGTGACGTCATCCAATGACGCAATCTTAGGACGGTAAGTAGATCTTTTTTCCTTAACCAACGTCCCGAGTCCGCCCGCTTCGAAACCAACCCAAACCCAACAACACAACCCAACCGACCCCGCCCCATTGGCCCCCCCCGCCCCATTGAGTAAAAATATATTATATAACTAGCAAAATGATTATGAGGAAAGGTAAATAAATTAAAATATTAATGTAAAATTAAATATAAATACTTTTAAGGCCACATTGTATTATTTCGGTATATAAATTCTTAAAAAAAAAATTAAAAAAAGTTGTAGAGGCGCCAAGTATCGAACCCCGTATCTCTCGCATGCAAATCAAAATCAAAATCAATATATTTTTAAATTAAATAATTACAGATCATAAAAAAGGTAAAATAGTAAAGGCCGCAATGTGGTGATGTGGTTGGCTGTAAAGCAGGCGCCCTTCCATCGAGCTACCGAGCTTATTGTAATAATCCTATCGCTCGAAAAATAATACCGATTTACAGTGTGTGACGTCACAAAGTGGAATACATTTCGGATTTTAACGCCTCGTCATAAACTATATGTAAACATATCCTATAAGAAAGTCAATAGAAACAAGATATAAAGTTCATTTTTTTATCTGGACTGCGGCAACGTTGCAAATTCATCAATCAATCAAGTTGGTCGCATTGATTAAAACAAACTAAGCTAGTTATAAATCTAATTGTGGTTATGTATAAATTATTGTAGGTTACATTGTGCAGTTGTCAAGTTGAATTGTCGAAATTCGTAGTTAAAAATGCAATTAATTTGGCTTTGGTGGTGCTTGGATGAGTAAAATCATATAAAAAAGTAGTTAAATATAAGTTGCTTTACGGCCCAGAAGAGAAAGTATTCCTAGCGGATAATAATCTTCGCTTTGAAAAGAATTTATATAAAAAAAAAATTTTGTGAACGTAAATGTTGTCCAATGGTGAATAATGTGAAAATAATGTGATGTAATATTTATAAAACCAAATTCGTTACTTTTTACTCCTAAAATGTCCATAAGGCGATGTACTTTTTCTTCCATTGTGGCATTGTGGCATAATTTCATCAAAATGAAGTTTTGCCCTCAAAAGGGCTTTTACATTCGAATTCGTTGCTATTATTTTTGGCATAATTATCCTTTTATGTATAATTGACAAGTAAATTATCAATAGTAAATATTATTGTCAATTTGACAGTGTCAAAGTATTTAATTAAATTCTTTAGCAGAAGTACCATTTTTAAATACTCCAGTAACTGGTGTAAGGTTAACAAATTAACTGTATACAGTTATACAGCTATAGCAGAGATTTAAAATTTTTGGAAAAACAGTTTTTCCCTAGAAACATTGAAAAAGGATAAAATATAATAATAATAATAATAATAATGCTTTATTGAACTAAAACCGTAGTCCTTCAGCCGGGATAAAATATATTTTGTTATAAACTAGAAAAAGCCCGACAATTTGCTAGCAATTTCTGCATTTCGGTAATTCTCCGAAAAAATCAATTTATATAGAACCTATAAACTATAGTTATTGAGAACCATAGAGTTTTTCTATGTTGAGAACTACCAGTCCTACGCACAATCCACACAACAAGGTATGTTCTACCTCATACTAAAAATAAGTACTAAAAATCACTGCAACACTACACATCATTTAATGGCGGCCATTTTTGTTGTTACAATTCTTGTGCTTTGGGTTTGTACAGATTAATAATCGTTTTAAACTTTGTGTTTCTAATAGAGGCACTTGTAAGCCTCAAATGAGGCCTTAAATTGGTAAGAACAATCATTTTACTCCTCTTTTGTAAAAAATAAACCTTATTATATCAAGGCTGTCATCAAACTGTCAAATGTCAATTTTAAGGTTATTTTAGGAACGCCTAAATGCAGGAATGTGCTCCATCTTAATATAATTTTTGCGTAAAATAAAACAAACCAAATCAAACCAAACCCAACCAACCCAACCCCCCGTAACCGCCCTATTGAAGCCTAACCACCCTATTGAAGACGATTATTCCTTCGTGCATTGCCCTTTATCTCGAACTTTGTTACCGATGGAATAATCGTCTTCAATAGGGTGGTTAGGCTTCAATAGGGCGGTTACGGGGGGTTGGGTTGGTTGGGTTTGGTTTGATTTGGTTTTATTTTACGCAAAATTTATATTAAGATGGAGCCCATTCCTGCATTTAGGCGTTCCTGTTATTTTATAACCCACAAATTATCCTTCAAATTGACATTTGACAGGCCGGATAGAATAAGGTTTATTTTTTACAAAAGAGGAGTAAAATGATTGTTCTTACCACTTTGAGGTCTCTTTTAAGGCTTGCAAGTCTCTCTGTAAGAAACACAACGTTTAAAACGATTATTAAGCTGTACAAACCCAAAGCGCAAGAATTGTAAATAGCAAAAATGGCCGCCATTAAATGATGTGATTTTTAGTACGAGATAGAACAGACCTTGTTGTGTGGATTGTGGTCCTACGTAAATTTATATGGGACCATTGTTATGTAAATTAGTAAAATTAGAAACAAAATGTATTTATACCAAAATCACTAGACAATCTAGAAAAACTGTTTTTTGCAACTTTTGATTTCGATATTTGGCAATGCCGCGGCACAACTTTTTTTTAAATGTTTCCGTTTTTTTCGAACCAAACCAAAATTTATTTCTTTGTGCTTATTTGGTAATTTTTTTTAGACATTTGCGTACAGTATTCTGTGGGATTTGCAATTTTTGCTGAGAAATTTCGCTCTTATTGGGGCCTTGTTACTTGTGCTGGCAGAAAGTCGAGGTGAAGCCAAAAGCTTATTTGCAGGAGTACCATCGTTAGGAGAAAACAAACACAAAAACTATCTTCAATTATCTGGAAGAATCTTGTTGGTGTTCATGTTTATCACCTTAATCAGATTCGAATTCAGTTTCTTATCTGTAAGTATTATTGTCTCGATTCTAGAACTATTTTTTTAATTTACTGTTTTTTTAGATTGTTTTGGATCTTCTGGGATCAACTATTATGATTTTGGTCACAATTGGTTACAAAACCAAATTGTCAGCGTCAATTTTAGTGGTGCTTTTAACAACATTAAACTTTTATCACAACGCCTGGTGGAATATTCCTGACTATAAGCCACTGAGGGACTTTTTGAAATATGATTTCTTCCAGGTAAGTTTTATTTAGACATCATGTCATGTTTTTAAAATAATTACTAATAATATCATATATGTATATTGATTATTTTATAATGAGTGCTATTTAATGACTGCATAATAATGTTTTGTATTTAATGAAACCTGTTTGTTAAAATTTCCTTTACAAATAAAACTATTTACCTTAAAACTGCTGTTTACAGTAATCCAATAAAAAAATAATTTTTAAATTTAAATTTAATGATATAAAGTGTGTCATTATTGTTTATTAATAATATGTGTACAATTTACACTTTTAATCAAAACGCTGAAATAAAAAATATAATTTATTTTTTAATGTTAATAAACTAAAAAAAATATTTCTAATTGTTGGTTTACAGTTTTGTTTCGTTTTAATTTATGAACAAATAATCATAATATTTACTTATTATATTTGTGTTGTTTATACATTTATTTTTTAATAATTATTAATAGGTACAAAATCTCTAAAACACTTTAAAAAGATTTTACAAATGAATCGTCTAATTTCAAAAGCGACCTCACCTTTGAAGAATAGTAAACTTCAAAAAAACATTCTAAACAGTAATGGGTAAAAATTATATTTTGAAAAACTTGTTCATATTATGGTAACTAAAAATATTTTTTCTACAAAATAAGTAACCAGATTTAAGTTTTAATTAAAAAAACATATATTTCAAAAGAAAAATGGGCATTTTAAGTACATTTTTGTACATAAAACATCAATGGAGATGGCCGTTATTAAAACTAACATAAAACTTTAATGAATTATTTTCCTTGCAAATAGCCGTTTTTGTTGGGATATACTACGATTTTATTAGTGTAAATAACTCATTAAAAAAAAATGGAGATGGCCGCTTTTGAAATTAGACGATTCAAAAACTATAAATTAAATTTAGAAAATTGACAATACGCTAAAGAAGTATCGGGTTTTCGCAACCCTCGCGCCATCTGGTGGACTTCGAATGCATTGCGTGAATTTAAGAATTGTCAACAATAAATTTAAAGCACCGATTATACATCATATTTAAATAAATAGGTAGTTTTTACAAAAGAGAGGAAGGCAGAAGACTTACTTCACAAATTTATTTGTGTTTTACGTTGCAAGGAAAAAATTAAAAAACTTTTTATTACTCGATTTCAATTGGTTGATTATTCCTTATTTCATTGATTAAGAAACTCAACGCTTAAATGCTTATATAGTTACGTTAGTGTATGTATTTTATGGATCATGGTGAATTATTGTATTTTTAATTGTAAATAAAATTCAAGAACTAAATCGTTGCATTTTCATGTTTTGCCAAAGGATCCAATTCGGTAAGTACATTTGTTGGTGCAGAATTAACTAATGATAACTTTTCCTAATGTAATTTATATTTAAGTTTGGACATTTTTAAGAAATTAGTAAAAAATAATTTTTGTACCATGATAACCTTACAATCAATTATTTTTATATTTGAGTTCTCTAAAAAACGCCGACAACTGCATTTTAAACAACAAAATATACCTAAAAATTCATGGCAACATAATATTATATATAATACATAATATAATGGTATTTTACCGTTGAGTGGAGACTTAAAAGATTTCTTAATCAACGCATTTAATAATGCTAAATGCTGTTTAAATTTAGACGACTTATTTGTTTGACGATTTTTACTTAATTGAAATGTTTACTAGCAATACTTCTTTAGCGTATAACTTCTTAAATTGTCACATATTTAGACTGATGTAAATAGGAAAAAAGCAGTTTAGTTTAAAATCATTATTTACAATATTAAATTAATCAAGAACGAGTGTCCCTGGGCTCAATTTTAAAAATTCGCGTGTTTTTTATGCCCCATAACCCAACAATTATTTTGACTTAAATTTAGCAGCAAACCTCAATCTTTATATTTTAAATTATTTTTTATCGGTGTAGATCACTCTAGAACGCCAAAATTTGTTGTTTGTTTTTGTTAATTAAATATTTTGTTTTCGATTAGCTTGAATTTTGTTGTATTTATTTTAATGAAAATGAAGTCGCGAATAAAATATTAATATTATTATACGTTTTTCCATTTAACAAAATCGTAGTAAAAAAAGGTTTTTAAAAATTGGGAATATATTTTGGATGAATTTTTATTTTATTTACCACATAATATTTTTAAACATATTGACACAATTCTCTTAAAAGAGATATCTTACATTTGCTTTACAATTTACAAGAAAGGGTTGCATAATTACAAGTCTATTAAAATGGCATTTGAAAATTAAAAAAAAATTTGCTGTTGGTACTCTTATAATTAATTCCTGGGAATTGTGAAAAAACTCTTTTCAAAAAGTAACATACACATTAGAGTGGGTCGAATATCCGCTTTTTTCTAAATTAATTTTGTAATATCAAAAATATTAATCTTTGAGGCTTACTAAAAATCGCAATTATCTAAATAATATCTAAAACCACAATATTTGAGGGGCATCCGTGCAAAACCGGCTATATCCATTTTAATAAAATGTTGGGAAAATGTCAAAAACTCCCCATTTACTGGCATATACAGATAAAAAAGATGCACCTTAATTGAGGAACGATCAGACAAAACCAGACAAATCCATTTAAGTGATTTGCAGAAATAAGTGAAAAGCAAAAGAATTATTTTATTTTTGATTTCTTTCTGCAAATCACTAAAATGAATTTGTCTGGTTTTGTCTGATCGCTCCTCAATTAAGTTTTGTGGGCACAAAACGATAATTGAGCGATAATTATTGAGAGCCTTTTTTGTAGAGAATTAAATTTAGAAACATTTACCTACAACAAAAAAAAACAAATTTCAAAATAGTATATTATGTATCAAGTTTGATAAACGCCATTTTATACACGAATTTAATTTAGGCACTAGCGAGCTTGCGAGACCCCTCCCCCCTATTTTTATCTCACGTAATTAATGGCTGTCCCCTATGTAATGTGTCGCAGACAGCGCCCTCTACAATCTAGAAAATTTAAATTTTTCATCCTGAAAACTCGGAAATTTTGTGCAAAGGCGTTTTTTTTTTAAGTTAATTAATAAAATCGATCACACACTTTTAACTTTAAACTAGGGTTTTAGAGTGTCGGAAAAAACCTGTAAAATTGTGGAAAAACCTAGAAAAAAATTGCTTTTTTGGGAAAAATTGAATTTTTTTGTTGCAAATATACACATTTGAAAAAAAGTATCAATTAACAACTTAACATTATTTTAATTTAAAAATATCCCTTATTACAAAGAAATAAAACTAAACATTGAATTAAATTAAATTGATTTAAGAAAATAAACGTAAACTTAAAATATACTGTCGGTTGGTTTGTTTTTGCAAATAGGAGCCCATTAAAAATATTCAACTACCAAATAATGAATGATTTATAATGTTAAATTACAAAATTATAATGTTATAAATCAAAGTGTTAAATAAAAGTTATGTTAATACAGCACCGAATATGTTTTTTTGCGGCCCGGTAGAATATTCTTACTAAACTAAAATAAAAGGAATAATTATTATAATCATATTATTATGAATATAATCAGCGTCGGAAATTCACTTTTTTCTCGATATCAGTGCACGGATATTATACGTAAAAAGTTGGAAATTTTCAGAAAAATTGACTTTTGCATTTTTTTGTATTACAAAATTTAAAAAATTAAAGAGTCAATTTTTCTGAAATTTTCTCAATTTTTCCGTTTTTTCCGCCGACTCAATTTTTTCGGAAATTTTAAAACCCTACTTTAAACATTGGTAAATTTGGTTAAATCGTAATATCTTTACATAAGGTGGCTGTGTATAATTAATAAACTGACAGCCTATATCTTTATTTCCTTTTTTCAGACTTTGTCAGTAATTGGAGGTTTGTTGATGATTGTTTACCTTGGCCCTGGTGGCGTATCAATGGACGAACACAAGAAACGGTGGTAAATTAAGTGTCATTCCAGAAATGTGTGATTTTAAAGTTGCATTGACTGAACTCTACCATTGACAAAATTCAAACATTTTATTAGTTTTACGCACGAACACATACTTTATCTGATAACAAAAAACTGCTCTTGAAATTATTCAGTAAATTTATAGAACAGTTTTTATCATCCATCTCTGTATCTTAATTTATGTAAATTCGGTTTTTTTTGTATATATTTTATTCTACGTAAGACGTAACGTACTTGTTTTACCCCTTGGACTATATTTTATTTAAATTTATTTGATTGTTTTTAAAAAATTACAGATTTTTCGTATTTTGCTCATGTTAATAAGGCAAAATTAAAATATATCTGTCCAAAAATGCAGTGGTACTTTATTGAAATTATTATTTTTGTATATGCTCAATTATTTTGTAAATTAAATATTTCTTCCATTATAATTTTGTTGTTCTTGTAGATTTTATGTTTATAATTGGGTTGTTAGGAAGACTAATAAAAAAATGTATTTTTACAAATTATTTTATTTATTTACAATAAAATTATATAATTAGCAATTGGTTTTATTAATATTAATTTGCGTTGGCATAAAAAATCGTGGTAAGTAATATAATTTTTTGGGTAATAAGTCAGGATATTTAAATAAAACCAAAAAACACATTCACTTTTTTATTACTTCATTCTTTTTATCTATACTATCTAAAAATTTAATTACATCATTTGCAAGGTTTCTATATTTATTGGCAACTATGCTTTTTGAATCCTTTATAACAATTGGCGTACCATCTTCAACGCATCCTGCAATATCTTGCTGTAAAGGAAAACTCTCCATAATTTTTATATTTAATTCTTTAGCTAAACTCTCAGTTTGACTGCCAAATAATTTTACTTCGTGATTACAAGATGGACAAGAAACACTCGACATATTTTCTATGATTCCTATTAGAGGCACATTCAACTTTTGGTACATTACCCCGCCTCTTTTGGTGACTTTTAGTGAGGCTATTTGAGGGGTAGTCACCAAAACAACGCCTAAAAATATAAAATTGTTAATTTTGGGTTTTATCTTCTAAATTTTTTTTGTCAGCAAAAGTAAGTAAAGTTTATTAAAAATATACAAAAAAATCAAAGCAATCAAGCAAAGACTGATTATGTAATACTTGAATTTATTTTTCTCTTGGTGGAGAATTATAACGATTAATTAAAAAACTAAACTTTTATTGCAGTTTATAAAATTCAAAAACATTAACAAAAAATCAATACTTATGAAGAAATTGATTTATTCTGGTTATTTTCTAAAGCAATATTATTATCCTGTAAAACTGTTTCAAGCATACCTACTCTAAAAAAGAATTAGTCAAAAATGACATATTTCATAGTGAAAAAGCATGCTTTGTCATAGTCCAAGATCTCAGGGCCGCCAGACCTACGTCATTTTAATACTGCTGAGATTTTTTTAATAAATGTCCTAATATGTAGTTAAAAACGTATGGGTACTTGCAAGCTTGAAAGCGGGGCCCTTTTACAGATAACGGGCACTAAAGGTACATAAAAAAGGTACCTGTCTACGTTAAAGTAATACCGCTGGTTTTCATATATGTTTTACACATTGTTATTAAAAACCAACATTCATTATTGCCAGACGCATTCCAGGGGACCTAACTTCCGCCAGACGCTTTAAAGCTCAAGAAAAAAGGGCTGAACCTACGTTATAGTAGTACTCCTGAATTTTACATATATTTTTTGAGTGATTATTTTAAGACCTTTTGTAAGCAGCCAGACCAATCCGAGGGGCCCAAACCCCCCCCAGACGCTTTAAAGGTCAAGAAAAAAGGGGGGGAACCTACGTTATAGTAGTACTCCTGAATTTTGCATATTTTATTTGGTTGACTATTTTAAGACCTTTTATAAGCAGCCAGACCAACCCGAGGGGCCCAAGCTCCCCCCAGACGCTTTAAAGGTCAAGGGAAAAGGGGGGAACCTACGTTATAATAGTACTTCTGAATTTTACATATTTTATTTGGTTGGCTATTTTAAGACCTTTTATAAGCAGCCAGACCAATCCGAGGAGCCCAAGCCCCCCCAGATGCTTTAAAGGTCCAGGAAAAATGTGGAAACCTACGTTATAGTAGTACTCCTGCATTTTACATATTTTATTTGGGTGACTATTTTAAGACCTTTTGTAAGCAGCCAGACCAATCCGAGGGGCCCAAGCCCCCCCCAGACGCTTTAAATGTCAAGAAAAAATGGGGGAACCTTCGTTATAGTAGTACTCCTAAATTTTATATATACTATTTAATTGGCTATTTTAAGACCTTTTGTAAGCAGCCAGACCAATCCGAGGGGCCCAAGCCCCCCCCAGACGCTTTAAAGGTCAAGAAAAAAGGGGGGAACCTACGTTATAGTAGTACTCCTGAATTTTGCATATTTTATTTGGTTGACTATTTTAAGACCTTTTATAAGCAGCCAGACCAACCCGAGGGGCCCAAGCTCCCCCCAGACGCTTTAAAGGTCAAGGGAAAAGGGGGGAACCTACGTTATAGTAGTACTCCTGAATTTTATATATATTATTTGAGTGACTATTTTCTGATCTTTTGTAAGCAGCCAGACCAATCCGAAGGGCCTAAGCCCCCCCCGGACACTTTAAGCTCAATAAAAAATGGAAAAATCTACGTTATAGTAGTACTTTTGAGTTTTACATATTTTATTTGGGTGATTATATTAACACCTTTTCTAAGCAGCCAGACCAATCCGAAGGTCCCAAGCCCCCCCACCCTGGCGGTTTAAAGGCCAAGAAAAAATGGGAGAACCTACGTTATAGTAAAACTTCTAAATTTTACATATAATATTTGAGGGACTATTTTATGATCTTTTGTAAGCAGCCAGACCAATCCGAAGGGCCTAAGCCCCCTGAATATTTTATATATTATTATTAATATTTATTATTATATATTTTAAGACTTTTTGTAACTACCCAGACCATTCCAAAGGGCCTAACCACGCCCAGACACGATAAAAGGTACGCTGTGAGTACGAGAGCAAGGCATGCATGTGAGTGCGAGTGTTAGTATTAGATGGCTTTATTAGACAGCTTCATGAAATTTAAGTTGTGTATTTGTCTTTATGGAATTTTTTAATATTGATTTAATAATATTTAAATTCTTGTTATAAAATTAGTTTTAATTAAATTTTAAAATTTTCAGGATCTCCAAAATTTTGAAAATTTCAATTTTTTTAAATATTTTCCAAAATTTTCATAATTCCCACACTAAACTTGTACCGACCAGGATGAACAATGGTACTTAACGGTGTTAAAATAGCCACCCAAATAATATATATACATAATACAATATTACAGCCTATGATCTTATAAGGTATACTTTTTATCATGTCTGAGGGGGGTTAAGCCCTTCGTATTAATCTGGCTGCTTATAAAAAGTCTTAAAATAGTCACCTAAATAATTTATATATAAAATTGAGGAGTACTACTATAACGTAGGTTCCCCCTTTTTTCCTTGACCTTTAAAGCATCTGGGGGGCTTGGGCCCCTTGGATGAGTCTGGCTGCTTATAAAAGGTCTTAAAATAGTCAACAAAATAAAATATGTAAAATTCAGGAGAACTTCAAAAACGTAGGTTCCCCCATTTTTTCTTGACCTTTAAAACGTCTGGGGGGGCTTGGGCCCGTCGGATTGGTCTGGTTGCTTATAAAAAGTCTTAAAATAGTCACCCAAATAATAAAAGTTAAATTTAGGATTAGTACTATAACGTAGGTTCCTCTATTTTTTCTCGAGCTTTAAAGCGTCTGGGGGGGCTTAGGCCCTTGGATTGGTCTGGCTGCTTACAAAAGATCTTAAAATAGCCAATTAAATAGTATATATAAAATTTAGGAGTACTACTATAACGAAGGTTCCCCCATTTTTTCTTGACATTTAAAGCGTCTGGGGGGGGCTTGGGCCCCTCGGATTGGTCTGGCTGCTTACAAAAGGTCTTAAAATAGTCACCCAAATAAAATATGTAAAATGCAGGAGTACTACTATAACGTAGGTTTCCACATTTTTCCTGGACCTTTAAAGCATCTGGGGGGGCTTGGGCTCCTCGGATTGGTCTGGCTGCTTATAAAAGGTCTTAAAATAGCCAACCAAATAAAATATGTAAAATTCAGAAGTACTATTATAACGTAGGTTCCCCCCTTTTTCCTTGACCTTTAAAGCGTCTGGGGGGCTTGGGCCCCTCGGATTGGTCTGGCTGCTTAAAAAAGGTCTTAAAATAGTCAACCAAATAAAATATGTAAAATTCAGGAGTACTACTATAACGTAGATTCCCCCCTTTTTCCTTGACCTTTAAAGCGTCTGGGTGGGGCTTGGGCCCCTCGGATTGGTCTGGCTGCTTACAAAAGGTCTTAAAATAGTCACCCAAATAAAATATGTAAAATGCAGGAGTACTACTATAACGTAGGTTTCCACATTTTTCCTGGACCTTTAAAGCATCTGGGGGGGCTTGGGCTCCTCGGATTGGTCTGGCTGCTTATAAAAGGTCTTAAAATAGCCAACCAAATAAAATATGTAAAATTCAGAAGTACTATTATAACGTAGGTTCCCCCCTTTTTCCTTGACCTTTAAAGCGTCTGGGGGGCTTGGGCCCCTCGGATTGGTCTGGCTGCTTAAAAAAGGTCTTAAAATAGTCAACCAAATAAAATATGTAAAATTCAGGAGTACTACTATAACGTAGATTCCCCCCTTTTTCCTTGACCTTTAAAGCGTCTGGGTGGGGCTTGGGCCCCTCGGATTGGTCTGGCTGCTTACAAAAGGTCTTAAAATAGTCACCCAAATAAAATATGTAAAATGCAGGAGTACTACTATAACGTAGGTTTCCACATTTTTCCTGGACCTTTAAAGCATCTGGGGGGGCTTGGGCTCCTCGGATTGGTCTGGCTGCTTATAAAAGGTCTTAAAATAGCCAACCAAATAAAATATGTAAAATTCAGAAGTACTATTATAACGTAGGTTCCCCCCTTTTTCCTTGACCTTTAAAGCGTCTGGGGGGCTTGGGCCCCTCGGATTGGTCTGGCTGCTTAAAAAAGGTCTTAAAATAGTCAACCAAATAAAATATGTAAAATTCAGGAGTACTACTATAACGTAGATTCCCCCCTTTTTCCTTGACCTTTAAAGCGTCTGGGTGGGGCTTGGGCCCCTCGGATTGGTCTGGCTGCTTACAAAAGGTCTTAAAATAATCACTCAAAAAATATATGTAAAATTCAGGAGTACTACTATAACGTAGGTTCAGCCCTTTTTTCTTGAGCTTTAAAGCGTCTGGCGGAAGTTAGGTCCCCTGGAATGCGTCTGGCAATAATGAATGTTGGTTTTTAATAACAATGTGTAAAACATATATGAAAACCAGCGGTATTACTTTAACGTAGACAGGTACCTTTTTTATGTACCTTTAGTGCCCGTTATCTGTAAAAGGGCCCCGCTTTCAAGCTTGCAAGTACCCATACATACGTTTTTAACTACATATTAGAACATTTATTAAAAAAATCTCAGCAGTATTAAAATGACGTAGGTCTGGCGGCCCTGGGATCTTACTCTATCACTTTGAAATATGTCATTTTTGACTAATTCACTGCAGTCACTAATAACTATAGTTCACAGCAATTTTTATCCAGGACATTTAACAGACAATTCTCATGTAAAATGGTCCCCTAAATCCGAAAAGACCGTCATAGCATTTTTTGAAATATAGTCAATTCCATATTATATGGAAAATTTAATAAATCTTAAAAACTGTCCTACTTTTATAACTTTTGACGATATATTCGGATTCAGCAGACAATTTTACATACGAATTGACTGCTAAATATCCGGAATACAAATTGCTGTTGACTAGAATTATTAGTGGCTGCTTTTTCGCTATGACAACTAGTCATTTTTAACTAATTCATTTTTAGAGAGTAGTATTTTCCATCTGGTTTTTTTTTTAAGAAAATTTGACAAATTTGTGTTCTTTGTTGCAGAAATCTTTTTTTAATGGCCCGCACTTTTTATGTGGCCTATGACTGCTTGCAAATGAAACATTTGGCTTGAAATGGTTTTTATCAACAGGAACTATGATTTTTGAAAGTCTTTTACTGATTAATTAATTAATTTAATAATTATGTTTTTACTGATTAATTAATTAGTTTATTAATTATGCTTACCATTTACAAAATAAACAATAATAATCACCCTAAACATAAAAATATATTTTGAATAAATTAAATTTAAATTACACTATTATAGTGTAATTTAAATTTAATTTATTTGAAATATAGTTAACATAATTTTTTTTTATTTTTGTTGACCAGTTTTATTTATAAATAACCAATTCCCTGACCGACTTAGGAATTCCCTGACTTTGTAGATTTTTTTGCCAATTTCCCTGACATTTCTAAAAAATTTAAATTCCCTGACATTTCCAGGTTTTCCAGATGAGTGGCAACCCTGTCAAAAAGAAAGAAGCAACACCCAAAGATAATATCTTTGGCAACACCATCCAAAAGGAGGTTCATTAATTCTAAATTTAGAATAATTAAAAAAAAAGAGTTCAGGGTGTTATGTAATTAATGTTATATATTAAAATGGGTTGTTCCTTAGGGTCCATAAAGAAGCACCTGAAACTTTTTTTTTCTAAATTCCAAAGTCTAAAAATAATTTATAATAACCTTTATCCTACCAAAAAGTACGCCACTGATCGACTAGGAACTTTAGGTTAATCTGGTGGATTTATTATGTTATGGTTGGTAACAACAGTTTTTCCAAAATCTTTCAAAAAAGTTACCAAGCATTGTTTAAATTTAGCTTAATTACAAAAATGACAAAATTAACAATGCAAATTGTCAATTTGGCGTTTTTATTAATTGTTGGTTATTTCATTTTTGTACTGAAGGTAAATTCAAACCAAATCTGACAACTTTTATGACAGAATCTAGTGCATTTCTTTTAAATTTTAGGTTATGTTTTCAAATTGTAAATATCTTAACTAATGGAAGTGCTTTTGGATTTATTTACACAAATTAAATGTTTAAAGTTTAACCTGTGAACTGGTCCCAATTTCATCTGAGTAAACAGAGAAAAAAACTGATGAAAAAATTAATTTTGTGGTTATGGATTTCAAATTTCAAAGGTACTAAATTTTCTAATCATTGCTTAAGCTAATAGCTGGACCAGTAAATAAATACAGAAGGGTATTAGAGCTTTAAGGGCATAAAACTTTTGTATTTATTGAGTTTTTATTTATTTTTTGCAAGAAAAATTTTTAGTAACAATTTTTTACATCTGGCAACGCCTAGCTACTTTGTTGGTTGGTATCTATGTACTCAAAAAATACAGGTGTGTAGAGATAAACAAGTGTGTAACCAGTGACGTATCACAAAAAATATAAAAAACTTCTAATGCATATTTTTTCTTTATCTTTGGAAAAATGTTTTTTTAAATATTTTTCCTTTATTCCTTATGTCAAAAGGTATTCATTATTTTAATATATAACATTAATTACATAACACCCTGTATTATTCAAAAGTTAGCCTTTCAATGAAAACACTTAAATTTTCAGCCTAAAACAATATTTTTTATAACAATACCTGAAATTGGTAAATTTTGGATCAATGACAGGTGGGTATCCCCTGTTCCTGGAGGGGTATCCACTATTAAGTAATCTGTATCCCCCCATTCAACCTGCCAAATCAACTTATCAAGAGCCTGCATTACCATAAGCCCCCTCCATATCACAGGTGCCCCTTCTTCTATGAGAAATCCCATTGACATGCTAACACAATTAATATAACAGTTACTAACAAAATACCTACTTGTTTTAAACTTACCATTTAACATTATAATTTACCAAGGGTTGCATTTGATTTTTCTCATTTAATTCAGGTGTATCATACAGATTCATCATTAAAGGAACTGTGGGGCCAAATATATCAGCATCAAGAAGGCCTACATTTTTTTCTGGGCGTACTACTTTAAGGGCTGTAGCCAAATTAACTAAAATTTTAATTTAGCAGCAGTTTCAAAAAAATATTAAAAAATCAGGATATGCAAAAGTACCTACCTGCTGCAGTGCTTTTTCCTACACCACCTTTCCCAGATGAAACCAAAACTATGTGTTTAACATTTTTAATCGGTTTTTTAACAGGTAAACCCTTTGCCATGATTTCCGCCCTTCTCTTTTCCATTTCAGTTTTCTCTTTTGAAAAGTGTCTATAAAAATCCTAATAAACAACATACATTTTAAATTAAACACCATATTTCGAAAGACACAAGTACCTTACTTTTATTTTAAGACTACTTCTTGAGTTTCTTATAATTTTTTTGGCTACAAAATTCATTTTTCTTTGGATTTTGAAGGTTTTTAAAACTTAAAAAAAGTAGGGTTGTAATTCATTTGAACTACTGTCAAAAAATTTATCTTAAAAATACATAAAAACTAAAAATTGTCTTGATAAAATAGCCCCCTTCATACTTTTAATAAATATTTAAAAAAAAATAAAAACAGCTTTATTTTAAACGTCTTTTAAGAACAATGTTTAGTAGTTCTTTAGTATTCAAAGGAAGAAGAAGAAGTTATCTGTCATACAGAACAATTTTTGAACGATGACTTTATTTTTAATATCATGTATGTAAATATAAATTCTAAAAAGCTTTATAATAAAACGCTATATGTAATCTTATTTTTCGCATGATTAACAAGTTTATTTTTAGGGTATGCCTAACCTCAATTATTCTTTATTATTATTATTATGGGTTACAAGGCAGCAGTGGGAGTATTAAAGTAAGATTTTGAAATATTTTGTAAGAATAATGTTACCATGTTTTAATATTATAGACAAGCAGATGATTTAAAATTAAAAGTCAACCGAAAGTGTGATTTATTAAATAGCAACGAAGCATGGACAGATCAGCAAAAATTACAGACGATATATCACCAGGCCCTGGTGCTGGATTTAGAATATGCTCTTGATAAAAAAGTTGAACAAGATTTGTGGAATATAGGCTTTAAAATTCACATTTCATCACTGCAGGAACTGACAAGAGACAAAAAAGTAAAATTAAATTAAACTAAAATGTAACCTTATTTTAATTTGTCTACATTTTAGAATCCTAAGAGGTCAGATGCCCAAGCCTTATTAACATGGTGCTTGGAGGCAGCCTCAGGTTTTTATTTAACCCTTTTACAAGATTTATGTAATACATTTAACATTGACTTGCCATTTCGAAGAAAAGGTTCTGTTTTTGGTCAAATTAATATCACTGGAGAACATATTAATTTACCACAAACATCATCATGTCTTTACATTTGTCAGTATTGTTTGGTGCATTTAGGTGACATAGCAAGGTACAGGAATCAAAGAAAACAGGCAGAAAATTTTTACAAGTAAGAAAATTTTATAATTTGTTTATATATCTTCATCAGCCAAATAGATATAATGTAAATTTAGAAAAATAAATATAATGGCAGATTTTAAAGAGGATTAAGAAGTAAAAACCTTTATTATTACTATAACTGAAAAACTTTGCCAAACAAACAATACTGTAAAAAAAGTTCTGAGACATGTTTTTTTTGAAGAGGGAACAAAAATATATTTTGCACTTTGGTAAAAATAAAATTTTACAACGAATTTTGTCAAGACATTTTTAGAGTCAAATAAATAAACGTGTTTTTCTATATGAGGATAGTAATTTTTTTACTTCTGATTTCAATTCTTACCCATAGGAACTTTTTTTACAGTTTTTTCTCTCTATATAAATAATAAATTATAACAAAATTTCAGCTTTATTGAGTTAAATATATTTTATTTTTTAATATGTTTTTATATCTTAGGCAGGCAATATTAGTTTCACCTACAAGTGGCCAGCCGTACAATCAACTTGCTTTATTGGAAGCTAGTCAAGGAGATAAATTATCGACTGTATACTATTATGTCAGGGGAATCACCGTTAAAAATCCTTTTCCAGCTGCCATTACCAATTTAATGAATACATTATCTTCAGCTGTAGATAAAGAAAGGTAAAATAACATTACAGCAATATTTTTTTATTTTTAGCTTTAAAGCATCAAGGTTTAAAAAAAATAATCTTGCCTTAAAATGAGTAATTTTTAATAATAATAATAAATATTCAACTTTATAAATATATATAAATATATAAATCAACGTAGTTTTAACAAAGTTCAATATATTTTTTTAATTAAATGGTCACAGTGTCAAAAAACTTTTGACAAAATGTCCTCTAGAAAATGTTTCATAATTCATTTTTATTTAATATGTTAGTTTAAAAAAAAAATCGAAAAAAGCTCCTTAAAAATAGAAAAAATATAAGCAGATTTTTTTATAATTTAAATTTTTTAATTAAGGGTGTCAAAAAAGAAACAAAAAAACGTGAATTTTAGATTTTTTATAATTTCAACTGTTTTTTTTATAAAAATACGCTCTTAACTTGAAATCAAAAGCTTTAAGAATGATAGTTTTCAAAAAGGAAAATAGAAAATATAATAAAATAGTACATTCTGTAACAAGTTTGGAATACAGCATATTCCGCTCGAGGAAAAATTTGACACACGAGCCGAAGGCGAGTGTGACGGTTTTACGAGAGTGGAATATGCTATTCCAAACGTGTTTCAGACATTATTTTCTCTACGACTACGTAAGAATAGTAACGCTTATATAATTTTAAACAGTGAAAAGAAACCAAGCAGTTTTTGACATTTAAGTTTTTTGTATTGTCAAACCATTTTGTGCTGTCACAATTTTATAATGTAAATTATAATAAATTTAAAAAAATGGTATGCCTAAATCTTTATTATAATTAAAAATAATTATTTACACTAACTAATAAAAAAAATAACATTGTAACAAATACAAAAATAATTTTACAAGTAATCTATGTCAACATCTACTGAGTAGATTCTACTCTTTTTCTACATTTTAAAGGTCTTTTTATAAACTTTTTGAATCTGTCAAAACTTCAAAGCCGGTATAGTAGGTAACTGGTTTATAATTTTAATATCAAATTTATTATAATTTTGATTTGTATATTTGAAAAAAATAAATTATTTGTGCCTAAACCTTAATTATACAACTGCTATTATTTTTTAATTAATAAATAATACAGTAATATTTAAATATTTTTAAATTTTTTACGTTTAGTAAACAGCCAGGAGATGTCGTTACTTGTGACCATTCTTAAACAAGAGTAGGAATATTCTCGCACTGTATTGCAGAAAAACATCCTTTCTATGATCAAAAATTACACTAGAATGTTACTATTCTTAAGTAGTCGTAGAGAAAAGTTGTTTTAGATTTTTTTATAATTTTAACAATTTTAATTGAAAATGTTCCCAAAAATGGTTTTAAAATAGAACAAATACGTAAAAAGTTGTGAATTTCAGATTTTTTTATAATTTCAACATTTTTTAATGGACTTTTATGAAAATAGGCTTTTTTACCTGAATGTTCATATGATATTATTAAGATTATTTTTTTTGACAGTTCTCTGTATTGTTGGGACATTGTTGAGGCATTGTTGTTGAGGGAACCTACAGCGAATTACAGCGATAATTTTTTGAAAATTTTCTCTGGTAGTTGCTATATATATAAAACAAATTAAATCTTAATTAAATGTTGTTTTATTCATTATGAAATTCTTATTTGTTAACTGTACATTTCGTCTCATGGTGCAATTCTATTGGCCGACATTTGGGACGGAAAAATAATCCCCCGAATACCACACGAGCTTCAAAATTATCTGGCATTTCCCTCAAGGTTCCCTGCAAACAAATAAAGTCTTCAAGTTTTTCAGGAAAAATCACTCGCGCTTCGCGCTCGTGATTTTTTAACCTGAAAAACTTGACTCCTTCATTTGTTTGCAACGAACCTATCGGGAAAAATACCCGATAATTTTGAAGCTCTTGTGGTATTATAAGTGAAAATTCCACACCTGTAATTTTTAACCAATCAAAACGTGTATTTTTCATAGATCACCATGGCAACGGTTGAATTTAAGTGGAAATTTTTTCCTCGTGGGTACCCAACAGCGAATTATACTGGAAATTTTTTGATGTTTATAATGACAGAATATTTTTTTGACAATCTGGTTTTTATTTGTTTACATGATAATTTTGATACATTTCCATTACAAAGTTTAGATGTTTTCTATATTCGTTGGACACCTCCTTTCTTCTTAATGGCGAAAATGCAGGACTTAAAATAAATTAAATGTCTATGTCTAATGAAATATATAATATTTAGACACTATTCTATTCACCTTTTTTTCCATTTAGCACTTTGAGTTTTGAATAGTTAAGATGCAAATATTCGTGAATAATTCAAAACAAATTTTCTTTCTTCAAGTAGGAGCCACAATCCTCTAATAATGCGGGTAAATAAGTCATTGCACGATGATTGATCATTACAGCAGACAATTTCACATTTTTTTACGTCGTGCCGCTTGACAGCTTCAAAACTGAAATAACTTTTAGGTTGGGGTTGACTTAGTTGCCATGGTAACTAAATAATCAAGTCGAGGTCAAGTTAAATCAAAAAATAAATTTTAATTATTTAAACACAATTTGGTGTGGAATTTTCTTACCGAATACCACACGAGGTCAAATTAAATCCGGGAATTTTTTCTCCCTCATGAATATTTTTAGAAAATTATCCCTCGTCTTCGACTCGGGATAATTTTCAAAATATTCATGAGCTCGAAAAAATTTCCGGAAATAATTTGACCTCTAGTGGTATTACTAGTGAAAATTCCACACCTGTAATTTTTAACCAATCAAAACGTGTATTTTTGATAGATCACCATGGCAACGGTTGAATTTTAGTGGAAATTTCTTCCTCGTGGGTACCCAACAGCGAATTATACTGGAAATTTTTTTGACGTTTATAATGACAGAATATTTTTTTTCGCCCTGCACATATAAAAATGAATCATATCAAACCTAAAAATATGACCGAAAATAATATATATCGTCCCTAGGGCCGCTAAACTTGATTTTTGTAGTTTTTCACAATCTAGACACCTTTGACTGACATTTATGTATTTTGGCATTTGACATTTTGACATTTAAGATTTTCAGACGTTTGTGTAAATCAAAATAAAAACGGACAACAAAAGTATAAAATAACAATAAAACATAATTTAAATTTTGTAATAAATTGAAAATGAATGGTAACTCGGACAGTGACGAAAAATTTACGAATACTTGACCAGATTTGAAAAAGAGGAAGCTAGCAATGTTAAGACAATGCGTTGAAACGGTACGAAAAGTGCTATGAATTATTTAAAAACTGGAAAAAGGATCAAAAAGCCAAAAACTTAACAGAAAATGTATTAGTTGCTTATCTATCGGAAAGATCAAAGATAATCCTAATGAAACGTCAACTTCATCTGTAGAAATAAGCCTTCAAATTCTGGTACTATCCACAATTGTGCTCAAGGCATAATTAACATTAATTGCAACAATAAATAAATTCGTAAATTGTTACTGAACTTTCTTATAAAATTCCGTTTATATTAATAAAATTTAAAAAAATAATTTGTTTGATGCTAGGCGAAAAACAGGTGTGTGTCACACATTCAGAAAACGCATTAACAGCCCTTAGCTATCAACTGCCCTCGCTTCGCTTCGCTCGCTCGCGCATTTAATAGCCGCGGGCTGCTAAAGCTAGTTTTCTGCCCTTGAGACACAATATACTATTTTCGCCCAGCACATATAAAAATGAATCATATCAAACCTAAAAATATGACCGAAATAGTTATTTATGTATTAAGGGCATAATAAGGTTTTTATGGTCCGAGGCGCTATTTCGAGCCCGAGCGCGTTAGCGCGAAGGCTAGAAAAGCGTCGTAGGACCATAAAAACCAGTTATGCCAGCAATGCATACAAAACTTTATGCACGATTAATATATTATTATTTTTAATATATTATTGTTTTTAAAGACGTTTACGTCAAAGAATTTTTGTTATAATTGTCATATTATAATGTCAACTGACATCAGTCAGTTTTAAAGTTTAAAGATAAATGAAATTGAGGAAGCAGCTGAAAAGGCGAAAAATTGCGGCCTGCTGCCGGTAAAATCAAAATCTTTATACGAAAAAACTTACTTCGAATATATCAAATGGTGTAACATTGTTGTTTTTAATTTTTGACGTTTCATTATAGCCCGCTGGGCCATAATAACGCCCGCGGGCTATAAAAAGACGTTTACGTCAAAGAATTTTTGTTATAATTGTCATATTATAATGTCATCGTGCATAAATAATATTTATCGTCCCTAGGGCCGCTAAACTTGATTATTTCACAATCTAGACACCTTTGACTGACATTTATGTATTTTGACATTTGACATTTTGACATTTGAGATTTTCAGACGTTTGTGTAAATCAAAATAAAAACGGACAACAAAAGTATAAAATAACAATAAAACTTAATTTAAATTTTGTAATAAAGTAAAAATGAATGGTAACTCGGACAGTGACGAAAAATTTACGAATACTTGACAAGATTTGAAAAAGACAATGCGTTGCAACGGTACGAAAAGTGCTATGAATTATATAAAAACTGGAAAAAGGATCAAAAACCCAAAAACTTAACAGAAAATGTATTAGTTGCTTATCTATCGGAAAGATCAAAGATAATTCTAATGAAACATCAACTTCATCTGTAGAAATAAGCCTTCAAATTCTGGTACTATCCACAATTGTGATCAAGGCATAATTAACATTAATTACAACAATAAATAAATTCGTAAATTGTTACTGAAGTTTTTTATAAAATTCCGTTTATATTAATACAATTTAAAAAAATATGCTAGGCGAAAAACAGGTGTGTGTCACACATTCAGAAAACGCATTAGCAGCCCTTAGCTATCAACCGCCCTCGCTTCGCTTCGCTCGCTCAGGCAGTTAATAGCCGCGAGCTGCTAAAGCTAGTTTTCTGCCCTTGAGACACAATATACTATTTGACAATCTGGTTTTTATTTGTTTACATGATAATTACAAAGTTTAGATGTTTTCTATATTCGTTGGACACCTCCTTTCTTCTTAATGGCAAAAATGCAGGACTTGAAATAAATTAAATGTCTATGTCTGATGAAATATATATAATATTTAGACACTATTCTATTCACCTTTTTTCCATTTAGCACTTTGAGTTTTGAATAGTTAAGATGCAAATATTCGTGAACAATTCAAAACAAATTTTCTTTCTTCAAGTAGGAGCCACAATCCTCTAATAATGCGGGTAAATAAGTCATTGCACGATGATTGATCATTACAGCAGACAATTTCACATTTTTTTACGTCGTGCCGCTTGACAGCTTCAAAACTGAAATAACTTTTAGGTTGGGGTTGACTTAGTTGCCATGGTAACTAAATAATCAAGTCGAGGTCAAGTTAAATCAAAAAATAAATTTTAATTATTTAAACACAATTTGGTGTGGAATTTTCTTACCGAATACCACACGAGGTCAAATTAAATCCGGAAATTTTTTCTCCCTCATGAATATTTTTAGAAAATTATCCCTCGTCTTCGACTCGGGATAATTTTCAAAATATTCATGAGCTCGAAAAAATTTCCGGAAATAATTTGACCTCTAGTGGTATTACTAGTAAAAATTCAATTTTCAAATACTATATATGGTTGGTCTTTATTTCTTTTCTTTTTTTTTGGAGGAATAAAGACCAACCATATGATAATTGAAAATTGAATTTTCTTAATATTGAACATGAACTCCCACAGGAATCCTAATTTTATTTTAAAAAGAGTCAAAGTAGAAAAATGAAAAAAAAACGTGAATTTTTTTATAACTTCAACAATCTTTAATAAGTTTTCATGAAAAAATGCTCTTTTAAATTGAAATCAAATGCTTTAAAAATGATTGTCAAGGAAAATTTTTAAATGGTGTCAAAATTGAAAAAATAAAAAAAATGTGAATTTCAGTTTTTTTGTAATTATAACAATTTTTGTTTGAATTTTATAAAAATATGCTCATTTTACTTAAATTCAAATGCTTTAAGAATTTACTGGGTAAAAATGTTTCCAAAAATTGTTTTAAATACATATAACAAATACCAAAAAAGTTGTGAATTTTAGATTTTTGTATAATTTTAACATTCCTATACCAATTTTCATGAAAATAGGCTATTTTATTTTGAAATCAGATCCTTTAGAAATTAGTTGAAAAAAATCCAAAAATGTGTCAAAAAAGTAAAAATAAAAAAAATTGTCAATTTCAGATATTTTTATATTTTCAACGATTTTGATTGATTTTAATAAAAATGGGCTCTTTTTACTTGAATTAAATGCTTTAAGAATGTTAAATAGAAAAATAAAAAACTTGAATTTTTGTTTTTTTTAGGTTCAATTTACTTGAAATAAAATTTAGTTTTAACAAATAACAACAAAGTTGTGAATTTCAACAATTTTTATGAAAATAAGCCTTTAACTCAAAAAATCCAATGCTTTAAGAATGTTACTTAAAGGGTTAATGTCAATTAATGTTACTAAAATGAAATGCTTTAAAAAGTTATAAAAAGGTTTCAGATTTTTTTATAATTTCAACAACTTTAATCGAATTTAAAATCAAACTTAAAAATTTCGCAATTGAGTATTAAACATTATTTCGCTTACTGTATCCCAGTTTATAAATTAAAAAGAATCTCAAGAGAGAAAATTTTATAACGAATTTAAAGGTGTTTTGCGTACATAGAAAAGGATGTAAAAGAATTTTTTCTACTCCCACCTTTAAAACGCCCTTTATCGTACATCTTTCCATGACACTAAGTGACCTTTTAAATACACATTGACAAGTTGTGGCTTTATGGCGCTTTAGTCACGGGCTGAAATTAGCAACAGGTTTTTAGTCACGGGCTGAAGTTAGTTTTAAGTTAGTTGACAGTTGTCAAATGTCATACAATCGTTAAAATAAAGTGCCTTTCTTGTAAAATAATACTAAATTTGAAAATTATTTTATTATCTCAATACAAAAATACAAAAGTATTAAATAGTTTCTCAACGCCAATATTTGAAAAGTTTATATGAACATTGTACTGACCTTTTTATTTCGCCGGAAGTAAACTATAATATAACTTAAATTCGGACACGGTCTCCACTCGGCCATTTCAAGCGCGCGAAACGCACGAATTACAAAACTGTTTTTATAAAAAAAATGTAGATTATTTATTATATAATATTTTGGCATCAAAATTGTCAAAAATATTCTTCTTTTATTAGGTTATACATTAAATAAAAAAAACGCAAGAAATATTTTATGAAAGTAGATATAATTTTAATAATTGAAAGGGGTGGACGGGACAAAAAAATGATTTATCTTGTCCCGTCCACCCCTGTCAATTATTGAAATTATCTCTACTTTTATAAAATATTTCTTGCGATTTTTTTTATTTAATGTATAGTCTAATAATAGAAGAATATATTTGACAATTTTGATGCAAAAATAATATATTATAAATTACCTACAATTTTTTTTATAAAAACAGTTTTGTGATTTGTCCCGTCCATCCGCTCGAAATGGCCGCACTGTAAAGTGCTCATAAAACATTTTCTTTACTTTCACTGTGAAAAACTGTCAATTTTCAAGAAATACATTTTGATTTATAACCTTAATAATCTGTGTTTATAAAATATAAAAATTTGACATTGGACGGTGACACACAGATTCCCCTATTGTTTCATAGATGGCGCTCTATACAAATTTTTGATTTAAATCATTTTAAGATACTAATAAGTATTTGTCGTAGAAAAAGTATAGTATGCTCCTCGTTTATATACTTTTCTATGCACTAATTAAATTCGTGTATAAAATGGCGTTTATCAAACTTGATACATAATATACTATTGCGTACATGGCAACGAATTTAAAAAAAAACACGGTTGTTTTGACACTTAATAAATATAATGTAAAAGTCAACTTTTTATAACAGCTGTTTTCGATTTTTTTTTAATTTCAACAATTTTTGATCAATTTTCATGAAATCAACAGCTTTAAGTAGTAAAGTAAAAAACTTCCAAAAAGAAGGCCAAAATAGAAAAAATAAGAAAAAAGTTAATTTCACATTTTTTTTATAACTTCAATTTTTTTAAATCGATTTTTATGAAACTATGTTTTTTTACTGGAATTAAATGATTGGTTTTAAAAAAATGTTTAAAAATTATTGTTAAAATAGAAGAAATAAGAAAAGTTGCAACAATTTTGGCAATGGTGTAAAAAACCGTTACTCTATAAAATTGTCGGTAAATTGAATTTAAATTTTAAGTTAATAGAATTGTTTTAAACTGCAAAGTTCATGCAATTAACTCGAAACTCATTTTAGTCCTTGTGAGAAAATCCAAACCAAAATGACAGTCAACGAATTCATCCAAGTATTCCTATGCACTCACGGCTACTTACACACAGCACTGGACTTGAATCAAGCCGATTTGTGCATAAAGAGTCTAAACACCACGATGACCGCCCTAGTGGCCACGCAAAGTTTTTCGAAGGATTTTCTCATTAAAATTACAATTATTAATTTGTACGCGTTGAGCCACGTCTTGGGATCAAAATCCATTAATAAGACTGACGAATTGACTGAAGACGAGAAGAAAGTGGTTGCTTTGACTTTAGAGCTCATTGCGGGGTCGCTTAGTGCTTTTTTGGTTCCCGTGCACACCTTGGTGATGGACGATAGTTTGTTGGACTATTATGCACTACCAGCAGGTAAGTTTTTTTATCTTTAAACGTTTAACTAAAAAATAGTAATAAATTAGGTTGTATAGACTTTTTTGTGTTTTTGACATTTTAAACGGCTTAACGTTCAAGAAAAAGTACGTAAAAAACGTAAAAAATTCCAATCATGCACTTTAATTAGATTTTCTTTTAAAAATAAACATATTACGAAATAAAAAAATAAAATAAAAATCGTCAAAAAGCTGAATTTTGGTCTTTCACTAAAAAATTTATAACTTCGCCATTTTTTCATGTATTTTTATCAACATTAGCTTGTTTTTTTGTAAAAATGTCAGCTTCACGAAAAAAAATCCAAACTCGAGTATCTGTTTGATTTAAACCTTTCCCAGGACGATATGTAAATTTTCGACCTCAATTTTTGCCATAATATCGAATTTTTTAAGTTATTAAAATCGCTAGTCAAAATACTTATCCGATATCAAAAGTATGTAAAATAAAGTTTTAGAGGGCTCAAATACCTTCAATTTAAGGGCTTGTTTGACCAAATCGATAAATTAGATTTCAAGCTATACTCAAAAACGTCAAAACACCTCCGAAAAATACAAAAAAAAAACAATTGAAAATTTATATTTCAAAAACGCTTCCATATTTTTTTTGTGATTTTCGTGTTTAGTGGGTCAAAATATGATGGATATGGTGGGCAGAATTTTTTTTCGATTTTGTAAACTAGTGTTATTATTTCCCATAATTATTATTTAATTTATTTTAAACATGTTTTCGTAAAATTCCTATATACTGAGATATATGTTTATTTCAGTAAAACTGTTGATGAATTTTATCCAAAATGATCCTGAGGTATTAAAGAGTAAGGTTTTTGGAAACAGACTGCAAATATGGCCAAGTTTGTGCAAACTTTTAAACAGCATACAGAAAAAACTTAAGGCACTTAACTACAATAAATGTAAGCACAATCGAACAAATATAATTTTCTTTTTTTAGTTTAAAAAATGTATTTCAGACATGAAAGCTCCTTTATCAGAGGACAAAAATTTGCAAGGATTTTTACCATTCGCCGAAAATTACAAAGATTTAAATTTTAAAGAGGACATTGAGGAACCCAAAATCGAAAGACTGGTTAGACTGAAAAGAATTGTCGAGTTTAGCAAATGGTTAACGGAATTAGATATAAATGGCAGCAAATTAATCACAAAGTAAAATATTCTGTTATGAAAAATTAATCAGTAAGTAAGTTATGTTTTTAGGAATGAAGTAAAAGGAGAATTAGTCTTTGAACCCGGTTGCACACAACCAGATCCAACCAAAGATTTACTTGAAGAAATGAAATCTTTCACCATTGAAGTAACAGAGAGCAACAAAAAAAGTATTATCCTTAATATCCTTAATTTTATACCGCTCATTTTGTCATTTTATTTAAGGTGGTTTAGAGAAGAAAGCCGGCATTTTAAAACCGCAAGGTTCCTTGGAAAAGTCTCGCGAAGAACGCGAATTGAACAACGATTCGATGGATTTCAGCTCTGGAGTTGTAGGCGGCCCGAAGGGGGATTTGAAGATTAAACGGGGAAAGCAAAATGTTGCTCTACAATCAATTTTCAAAAAGATGGAAGAAAATAAACAAGTAAGTTGATAATGTTATTAATATTAATAATATCGTAAAAATATTTACACATTTTAAGGCTGATAAAAATTAACTTTAGATTTAATTTTATTTCAAGATCACCTCAAGTGATCGTGAAATTCAAATTAATATATTTTAATATAAAGCAGTCACCATCAATAATGAAACCCTGAAACAGTTTTTTAAAATTTCCATTTTAACAACAATTTTTTTACAATAAAAATTTTGGAGACTTAATTAAAAAATAGATGACAGAATTTAATGAAATTTTCAGTATTTATTGTTTAATATTCACATTTTGAAAAATAATTAAAAATTAGAAATTATTTATTTATTATCATATTTTTAATTAACTTTTAAATAAACAAAATAAATGTAAATGACTTCTCCCTCAAATTATTATTTTTTTTTCAGTTGTACACTTTAGTTAAATATTCTGAGATAATCAGTATTGATTTAAAATAAACTGTCTGCAATAAGAAACACTGTTATTTAACAAATTTAACTTTTTAATGTAATAATTAAAACAAATAGATATAATATTTGTTTTTATTTATAAATAAAGACTCTAAAAATGAACAAATAATTAAATCAAACATAAATTTTCCTGCAGCATGTTAGTTAGTTGTTATTTTTGAATCTTTCGAAAAAACGTACAGTGTAGTGATACATCGTCTAAAGCTTTATAATAGTGAAACTGGGTATTTTTTATAGTAACAGATTGTTGAAAACGTAGTTTGGATTTTAGTTCGTGAGAATCATGTTCCTCTTGAGAGCAAAAACCAAAAGCAATTTTTTTAAATGAATTTTCGGCCCATTTAAATAGTGACTCTGCAGTAGTGATGTGATCATTGTCGCGTTGAAGACTAGCACGATAAGCTTGTCTTTTCACGCTTCTTCAATTTCAACATTAAATTCGTTCTTGTGATATTTATTTTTATACTGTGAAGCTGCTCCGTCGCAAAAGTAAGAATTTTTTAAAATTTTATTTGCTCCGAATTTATTTTTTAAAAATACAATTAACTTTGATTTAAAATATGAGCTTCTGAAATTATCACGTAATTTTCAAAAGGATTACAGCATTTATTCACCCGGCCCATAATAAATCACTATTAATATAATAAATATTAATAAAAATAATATCGTTAATTAATTGATAAAATAGTTAAACGCAAATTTACAAAATTGTGTTTAGTATTAATTAACCCTATTGAAAATGCCATATAGAACCATATAAAAAACACGTATCTGGATTCTATATGGTTTCTATCTGGTTCAATATAGGTATTTGAAACAGGCATTTCACTATAGAACCAGATAGAAGATTACATTATAGAACCAGATAAAAACACTCTAAAACACTATAGAACCAGATAGGGAAACCTATCTGGAAATACATATAGAACAGAAACCAGATAAATCCATATACATCCATATACATGTCTTTTTAAAGACATGTATATGGTTGTATATGGATTTATCTGGTTTCTGTTCTATATGTATTTCCAGATAGGTTTCCCTATATGGTTGAATATGAAAATTTTTAAAATGGAAATCCATATTCAACCATATAGAATCCGTAATGTAAACCAGGACTTTCCATATAGGACCTATAAAACCATATAGAACCAGATACGTTTCCTTATCGGATTCAATATGGGTTCTATATGGCATTTTCAATAGGGAACTGACGTGCTAACTTATTTAACAAATAACCTGAAATGGCTTGTAACATTCATTTGATATTTACGTGTATACATAAAAAACAAATAAAGATAATTAAACAAAAAACAATAAAAAAGTTTGTTTAGTCTTTATTTATAAATAAAAACAAATATTATATCTGGGTCATTTTTAGAAATACCCGCTTTCAGGAAAATGAAGATCAAATTTTTTTTTTCTTAAATTGACTTTTGGTTGGATTTTTATAAATGTTTAGAGTTTTGTTTACTTACATTTAAGACAGGCAGTGCACTTTTTAATTTTTTTTTACGTTTTTTTCAGAAAAATGTGTTTAGCTAGCTTTATATATCTCCACTGTGTTACCAATTTGAAATCCAAAATTTAATTCAATAAAAAAAGTTGTTATAAAAATAATTTGAAATAAAATGTACTTAGTTCACAAACTTTTGACTGTATGCTTTTTTTTTTAAATATGTATGTTCGTTAACGTGTTAACGTGTTAACGTGTTACTTTTTAAAAGAAACCATTCCGATTCTTTGTTAAAAAAACAATACCATTAATATGTTCTTTTAGTCACTGTATTAGTGAGTTAATCTCTGTGGTTAATCTCTAATTTATAAACGCGTATTACCAAGTGATAGTGTATAAAAATCATTTTAAGTATTTTTTTTTAACAAAAAAAAGTAACGAAATAGGCATTGGTATCACAACGGACTGGGGTACACAAAGGACTTAATCTGATAACGTAAAAAAGAAACTATAAAGGGTGGTACGATTTTAGAGTAATGCATAAACAAAATCCCTTGTAGTGGTGCTCACTTGCAGAATAACAACTTAGATTTCTAAATTGTAGACACCCTTTTTCTTTGACTATAAGCTGGTGAAGGTCCCTTTTAGTACTTGTATATTGCGTGGAATTTTCCCTTGGATGTAATCTATATCAAGAGTTGTAACCACAAATAATTTTAAATTGGTTTATCATAAACTACTTTTAATAAAATCGACGATAAATATCCACTTTGTTGTCGAAAAATTCTATTGCGTTACCCTAAATTCCATTGCGTTACCATAAGGTAACATAACGCAGTGGAAAAAGTTTTGTGAAACCATATTTAAAAAATAATAATAAGACATTAATTACTCTCAATGAGCTTTAGTGCCCTAAAATAAACATAAACATGAAAAATAGTATTTTTTCTTACCTTATTTTTATTATTTTTTTGAGTAACTTAGCGGACAAACAATTATTACATTCGCGTTACCCGCACCTGTTTCAACTGATATCTTCTTCCTGATTAAATAAATAAATTCAGCTGGGTAATGTGTACGTCCGAACATTATTTGTTGATCACGCGAGTGCCAAAAAAGTTGCCATATATATGTTTTTTTTAATATTCTATCGGTAACGTGACGGACGTAACGCAACGGAAAAAATGTCTGGGACATGAGTCAAATTTAAAAAAAAGAGTTTACTAAGGGCTTGTTAGGCTTTCACTTGGTTGTTAAATCAATAAGATCCGATAATTTTTAACAAAGATATTGGAATTCAAACTTACGGACAGTGGAAGGCGGGTGTTTTTTGAAAACGACCCATCTATTTGTTATAAATATTACATTAAAAAATTAAACTTGTTAAATAACATTGTTTTTATTGTCAAAGATAGTTTATTTTTTATTAATACTGATTGGAGCGGATGCCGAGTCTACGCTTAGCTACGGCGTATGTATGAAAAAAAAACAAATTCATAATTTGAGGGAGCAGTCATTAAAATTTTTATTTGTTTATTTAAAAGTTTATTATTATCATGATAATAAATAAATAATTTGAAATTTTGAATTGTTTTTCAAAATGTGAATATTAAACAATAAATTATGAATATTTTATTAAAATAGTTTTTCTGTCATCTAATTTTTAATTAAAAGTCTACAAAATTTCATTGTAAACAAAATTGTTGTTAAAATGAAAATTTATAAAAACTGTTTTAGGATAAATATAGTAATTTGAATTCCACGATCAAGTGGGAAATGGGGTTGAGATGATCTTTCGCATATTTCTTTTTATGAGCATTTATCATACCATTAAACTACATTTGAATTTAATTGACAATGCATGACAAATCATATTTCAGGTAAAATTTAACGTGGAAGAGCCAGAAAAATTGGTGAAATTCGAAGCCAAGCCCTTGCCAAAACCGCAACAAAACCCGCAACCAACTAGTCAAAACAACCAATTCAACTTACCTCTTAGAACGCAGTCGTTCAATCAAAATCATCCGGCATTCCCGATAACTCAACAGCAACCGCAACCCGATTTCCTCACCAGCCTCCGAAATGTGCCTAACATAGACAAGGGGACCAACTACCAATACCCGAAAACGGACGCCAACAATCAGCTGATGATGCCGTTCGGAAACATCCAACCGAACATGAGTTTGAAACCCAACAAACCTCCAGTCGGCTACCCCAAAGCGTTCGTCAACCCCCAAATACCGCCCCCGTACCAGAACGTGCAGAACCTGCCGTTCCCGCCGTCGTTCAACCCGCCGCCGCCGCCGAAAAGAGACGACCAGAACGCGTGGTGGCAGAACAACTTTCCGCCCAGACCGTACGAAAATTACCCCGTCAACTACGCGGGGTATCAGTTCGGCCCGCCGCCGCCCGACTTCAGCAAGCCGCCGCCCAGCGGGCCGCGACAAGGCGCCGGCGACATTTTCGGGTCGTCTTGCTGGGGCGGCAACTTTCCGCAGGACAACTCGTGCAACTTCGGCGGCGGTAGTCGGGGCGTTTCGATGCGGCAGGCCATGCTGAAGGAGGCCAACTTGCCGGGCTCGTCTGCCGCAAGATACCCGTGTTCGCCGGTAAGTAGACTCTTTAAATTCTTAGGGCCGTATGCACGGTGCGCCTGAACGAAGTTTAAGTATGAGTATAAGAGACGTATAACTAGTGATGCCGCGAGACGAGACGAGAAAAGTCCTTCTCTCGTCTCGTCTCGTTTCTCTCGTGGTAAAAGTACCTATGTATAAATACAAAAATTATTTGCAATGAAATTCGTTTATATTTTTTCTATATAAATTTAAACTGGGAATAAAAAAAAATTGTGCCAAGACCACACTGATAAAGTAAGACTTTTTACGCCGAAAATGTCGCACATTTGAATCAAATGGTTGGATCTATGTGGAGTAGTTACATCTAGTATATAGGCGCAGTAGTTTTCAGATGGATTGATCAAATCATCCATCCATCTGAAAACTACTGCGTCTATATGATGTAACTACTCCACATAGATCCAACCTTTTTGGTTAACCCAGTCATCATTCAAAGCAAGAGTACCTATTTTTCGTGAAAAACTATACATTTTCATAATTTTATAACAAAACATTAAAAAACTCAATCTGCAAAAAGTTGGGGCTGTTTTTGTAAATTTGCCCCCTCAAATGTTACGCCTATGATTAAATTTTAACAGTTTTGATTATAGATCCAGATTCGGAATGTCAAAATTACCAAAGTCCCAAAAATTCAGGTCTTCATGTTCAACCGTCTAGAAATAGTTTTAAAAAAATGATACTCTTAAGCTCCTATTTAGGGGGGCGTAGCACCGTTAGGGGGCATTTTTTGATATATGTTTATTAAACAAAAAAGTGTTATTTTTCAATAATGAATGCACTGTTTAGGTTTGGCCCCCTAATTTCGGGACACCCTGTATATATGAAAAAATTAATTCAGAAGGTTAACATACCTATAACAAAGATAAAATTACTACCATGTTAAAAACCAAAATTTTGTTTAAAAAATATTTGTCTTATTTTTTAAATACTTTTGAAGAATTTTAAATTTTAGACCATGTTCAACTTATTTTTTTTTTAATTATGTGCTTGCTCTTCAAATAGAAACAATAGGTAGAGGGGACTTTTTTCTGAGTAAATTTACACTTTATTATTACTTATTTACAAAATACAAGGCCTACTATGTCAGTTTTTAAGAGTAAATTTTCCAAACACGGCACTGGATTCACCCCTCAAAACGACCATACTAAATTTTATTGAAAAATTGTAAGTAGAAAAATGCACAATAATAACCACAAAAATTTATTCTGTTAAGTTATCCATAAAAAAAACATTGAAATAAAATTAAACTTATGGATAACTTGACAAAATAAATTTTTGTAGTTATTATTGTGCATTTTTCTACTCAAAATTGTTCAATAAAATTTAGTATGGTCGTTTTGAGGGGTGGTGAATCCATTACCGTGCTTAGATTTTGTTTAAATAAATCGCTAATATGAATTCTTAAAAATTTACTCTTAAAAACTGACATAGTAGGCCTTGTATTTTGTACCAATATGGCGTTTTTTGTTCCCAAAATAGATCTACACTTTAAAACAAATCCGATAAAATTGCACGATAAATAAAGATTTTACAGGGGTGAGTCGCAAACAAATGGGTCACACTGTGTATCATTCCACATTAAAAAGTGATATTAGAACGGTCATATTCTCTATTAGTAATAGAAAAACATGTTTATTTTACCGTATAACGTGGAATTAATAATTATAATTAATTATTTTATTAAACAGAATTTCCAAAACCATATTTGTTTTGATGTTCTTTACCACCCCTGAAAGTTTATCTGTATGTTTTCCGGACACCCTGTATAATAAAAGCAACAATCTAAAGTTGACAAAACAAGAAATTATGATAAACAAAAGTAACGATATAATAAACAGGTACATAGAACAGGTCAATATTTTATATGTCAAAATTTTAAGTTAATCATGTCGCTCATAAAAAATCTTGTAAAAAGTGTTTTAAACAACACACCCAGACGATTTTTCGCCCATAATGAATATGAAATTGGAGAGAGAGAAAATGTAAAAATTGATAGTACAAAAGTCGATCCTGAAAAAATGGCACGAAAAAGGAAAAAGAAAGAGTTTTCGAGATATTTAAATCAGAGCCACAGATTAAAACGCGAAAAGTCCATGGACGAGCTTAAGCGTAGAATAAGAGATCATCGAAATGAAGATTAAAAATGCATGTTATTTTTTAAATGTATTATTCCTATTTCTCTACGATTATAATTAAAATGTATACCTATTTGTTTTTATTTTCCACAATTTTCAAGTTCTGTAATTGGGATGATATTTACTTTATAGCTAACAAAAAATATACTACCTGATAAAATATAAAAAAAGTTTACCCTTCAGGTGGAGTGAATTAAAAGTATGTTGCTAGTATTCCATTTTGGAGGTAAATAAAAACAATTTAGGTAAAAAAAATGTGAAAGGTGTGAATATAAATAAAAAGGCTGAAGGCCCAGGTCAATGTCCTTTTCATTGTTGTATTTTATTGCATGATCTATAAATATCTATTTATTTATAAATACAAAACCTGAAAATGTTACTTTTCACTTTCTCCTCCATCTTGTGTACAAAAAGGTTTTTTAGTGACAGATTATTAGATCGAAAAATCCGCTAATATGTAAAACAAAGCTTTCAAAGTTTAATAAATTTAAAGAATTTTTGATTTTTAGTACCTAGTAAATCTGTCGGAAAAAAATACCATAATTTTTTTTTTGTTTGAATCGTTTGGGGCTCATAAGAAATTTATTTTTTTCTCGAAAAAGGTAATTTAGAAAAATAAGTTATAAACAAAAAATGAATGAGGCATCATTCACTACAATAATAATAAATGATTTTTATAAAAATTTTGAATATAATTTTAATTAATTAAATTAATTTGTCCTGTAACAAATCGAAGTTGTATGTGTTTATGTAATGAAAACCCTTGATCAAATCTAGTGTGCAAAGAATGATAAGAATTCGAGATGACAATTTTCTAAATAACAGTGCTGCATTAAAAATATGAGGTCAAAAAGAGATAAAACGCATTTTTCATAACATATATTTAAAATATTGAATGAATATTTTTGCTAAATAACCTGAATATTTTAGAAATATCAGTCATTATCATTTTAATGCCCTCTAAAATGTTTTTACAACATTTAGATGTCCCAATTTTATATTTATACAATATTTTATCACAACATTATTGCAAATTTTTTAGAAAAATTACCTCAACATCACAAAACATTGAAAATATTTTGAAATTATTTACCGTTCATTGCATATTTACTTTAAAAATGTTGTTGTAAATGTTGATAAAAAGCAGATGTGGTATGGTATTCTTATATAAGATGTACTTAAACAGTGTAATACCATAGCTGGAGATCTTTTTTTTTGCACGCTAAAAATGCAAGTAAATTTATAAACTGTACAAGTCTTAATAAAAAATATTTAATAAAATGGTTTATTTTAAAATAATCGATATAAATAAAAGTGAAAAAAAGTGTAGAACAAAAATTCTTTGAAAAAAGTAACAGAAATAAAAGAATATTTTCTGTCTACAGCCTGGTTGTTTTTTTTAAGTGTAATTTTTACTTCATTTTTCCGGATGGAAGCTAAAAAGAATTTAATTTAAATTCAACAGGGTTCCCGTTTGTCATAAAATTTTTAAATATCATAAAATTGGTTAAATTGTCCTAAAATGTCATAAAATTCACATTTTGTCATAGAAATCATAAAATTTCATTATTTTTTAACAATTTTCTCACCTTTGATCATTTTTATAAAATGGAAATTTTGTAAAATAAAATTTAAAGCCGGTCCTGTAGAATAAAACGCTATAAAATGTTTTATCTCCACGCGGTCTATAATTTAAACTTTATTGTTGTCAACGTTCGATAAAGAAATACCTTGTTATGGCCTTGGCCGATAAAGATTTTTATGAGGCAAGTAATTAGTTCGATTTTTTCTGGCTAGGGGTATTATTTTGACAAATTAATCCTTTTCTAAGAAATTAACGTACTAAACTGGTTTAATTTATTTATAATAAGCACTAATTTTTTGGTTTTACTGTTAATGTTTAATATTTTTCATTAAATTATTGTAAAATTAAATATGAATAATAAAACAAAAAGTGAGGTTAAGCAACCAAGAAAACGCACGATTCTTTTTTTACGATTTAAATTATCTTTAAGTTTTATTTTGCTTTAAGTTTTCAGTGAAATTAAATGTTAAACACAGCTTAAACATTCCAAACTACCTATTTTTTAAATAAAAATCCAAACAAATTAAAATTAGATACCTACCTATTTATTAAACAATTAATTGAATTCAATGTAATAGCAAAAATCCATTTCTACTTAAATCATGTTTCTAGGTATTGTCAAACTATTACTGCTTCTAAAAGCAATAATAAGTATTGTACAGTTAATGTAATCTTTAGCTAATAAATAAATGAGATTCTAAAAAAGTAAGGTTAGGCCGCTTGTATGTTGAATTAAATTGACCTATATAAAGTGCTTTGAAGATAAAATGTTGTATGCCATTCGGCCAAGAAGTGCCTTTTTGTGCTTCGCTCAATTGTAGGCCTCCGCTACGCGTCGGCCTTCAAACCTTGAGCTTAGCACAAAAATCCTTACTTCTTAACCTAATGACATAAATAACTATTAAATATGGCCTTGGTTGTTGACGTCTGAACTTCATATTATAAAGGAAAAAGAAGTTAGGTTTGGAAATTAATTTTAAATTTGAAATAAATAATAAGAAAGGTAAATTTATTTTTATACTAAATTACTTTACTAAGGAAGGCACAAAAAAGGACTTGAAGAAATTGATACTATTTTGGCAAGTAAGGAAGCAGAGTTAAAAATAACAAGAAATATTATTTCTGAAGGAAATAAGAAATTATCGAAGTACCTTAACAATAACTAAATAACTACTCTTAAAAAATCTGTAATATTGGAGGCTCAAACAATGATTAACATGGGTCTAAAAAAGCAAAAAAAAATAGTACTTATAAGTACCTATACCTATATATAGGTATATATATTATTTTTTTTTGCTTTTTTAAGACCCATGTTTATCATTGTTTGAGCCTCCAATATTTCAGATTTGTATACCTTTGTGGTTTTATTTATTTTGAGATTATAATACCTATTATAAAAAAATACTAAAGTAATATATATTAAAAATATTATAGCAGAAATATTTATTTTGATGCGAGAAAAAATATTTATTTTTATATAATAAACCGTTAAAAAATTACATTTATTTTATTAAATAACTTTAGAAATAATAAATTCTTGTCATAAAAAATGTCATAAAATTTGAAAAATTTGTCATAAAATCATAAAAAAAAAGTACAAAACAATGCTGGGAACCCTGATTCAATCTGCGGTTCAATCCCGCTCGGGGAAATTACTTTTTTTTTGTTAAAAACCAAAAAAAATATTTTTTTGTTTTTTAAGCGATTTTATTAGGTTTATGTTTGTTTTTTGTTAATAAGAAATAAGAAAAATTAGATGCCCTTATGATGTTACTTACGACTATTTCCCTCGTCTTAATTTCCACCAATCACAAACGTGCAATTTTGAATTACAAATGGTTTCTAGGTGAAAAAACTGTGTGACAGCAGTTTTTTCGAGTTTTTTCGAGTTTACCCGCGGCAAAACTTGACAGCTGTTGTCACCAAAAATTGCAATTTATATTTTAATTGTTAACTGTTACTCATGAAATACTCTTGTCAAATACCATTCGGGCATCTAATTTTTCCTGTGAAAAAAATCGAAAAAACACAATGCTAAGTAATATTTTTTAACAAAATGCATTCGTGCAGGTGCAAAAATCCTCCTCTTCGACTCGGATTTTTGTTGCCACCAGCACTCACGCTTCTTGTTAAAATATTACTTGGCAACGTGTTTTTTCGATTTTTTTTCGGAAAAATTAGATGCCCTTATGATATTACTTACGAAAATTTACTGTCTATTTTTCCAAGTATTAAAAAATACATGTTTGTATTTTTAGCCCTCACCACCTATAGAACAATTCAGGTTAAAGCATGCTCCTCCGCCTACCCCTGGATACTCGTTATTCAACACCACGAGCTGGAACCCGACTTTGCCGGGCCAACTGAAAAATTCCAAACTAAGTGCGGATAACGCTAACAATCAGATATCGCAGCAGTCCTTGTTCACCGGCCACGGGCCCCAATCGCTGGCCCAGCTTTTGGAGCAACAAAATCAGATTCCCAGAAACGATTTATAATGATATTTTGTTGATTAATTTTTAGTATTTTTTTGTAAATACGTTTGTAATAGAGAGAATTACATACATGACTGTTGATTAGGTTTGGAGCAATGAGATTTTTTTTATCATTCGTTTTTTTTAATATCAACTGCTTTGTAGCGATTTATACAATAATAACATAAACCATAAGTAGAATGCTTCTAAAGCACAATGTACTTATTTATAAAATTTATTTGGTTTTGGTTCACCAACATTTTATTGGTTATTAGATGGGTCAAAATTTTGGCCACCACTTTTTATTTTGTATCATTTAATATAGATTTTGATTTGTTTTTTCGTCTCAAATAATCTGATTTTTTTTTCAAAGATTAAATGTACAAGTTTTTTTCTATGCAAAAAAATGTTTTAAAAAAATCGTACAAAAATTCTTAACAAAAACTCTAGTAAAATACAAATTTGTATTTTACAGTAGGTCATTCTTTTATGTATGATAATGTTTATTTTAAACGAAACCTTAAAGAATTATGAATTAAAGAGATAATGTTTGTAACTAATATTTAATTTTTTGAAAAAATAATATTTTCGAGTATATTAAAAATATTCTGTGTAGAAAGCAATAAACCAATCAGAGCACAAAACAAATCAAAATCTCTATGAAATGATTCATAGATTAATCTAAACAATTGTTTAAGTAGTCACTTGGGAAATTATGACCCACATTATAATTTTTCTGTATATCAAATAAACATTTTAATATTGTTGTACCAAATATATAAGGTGTCCCAAAAGATCCACCAAAATAATTAATTTGTCTTGAGTAAAACTTCGAAATTTACATTATGGAATAAACTGGGTTATTTAGGACACCCTATTAAAATTATTAGTAAAATGTTAAATTTAATTTTTTTCTTATTTGATCCTTTAATACCAAATATGTAAACAGATTAAGTAATTATTGTTTAATAAATTTTATGCATATTTTAGGTGTTTTTTTAATCTATTTTTTATAAAACTATTTCATATTTATTCTAGAACAGTTTCAGATTTTTAAATACCAACAGTATTTACATTGGGTCAGAATTCCTGAAATTCCACAGAAAATAATTACCAAAAAATTGACGTACGTTTATAATATACAGGTTTAAACAAAAAGATGTTTTTACCATAAGTGTAGAGTGGCAAAACCGTATATTGTTCTAAATTAAGTTTTATTTATCAAATCACATCTATTCTTAACAGTTTTGTTTTTGGTTCACCTCGATATATTTATTTTTGTGGAAAATATGGATTTTTTAAGAAAACATTGCAATTTTCAATATTTTTCTGTATGAAGAATTAAGGTTGCTATGGTCCATCCATAGGCTATAAAGAATGACAGTGACAGTTTTGTTGAATCATCTCATACTCGATATGTCATACACAGCTTTCAAAAGCTATCAAATTGTTTTTTGCAAATTAATGTTTAAATTTTGAGGTGTATTCTTACTTTTAAAAATGGATATGTCTCCGACTGATGTTGCCAGAGCCATTAATTTAATCCAGGATGGACGGTCACTGTATTACGTGGCAAGTGTTTTAAATGTCAAAAGAAGTAAAGTACAAAGGGCAACATCAGTCGGAGACATTTTTAAAAGAACGAAGACACCTCAAAATTAACACATTAATTTACAAAAAACAATTTGATATCTTTTGAAAGCTGTATATATATGTCCAAGTATGGGATGATTCAACAAAACTGTCACTGTCATCCTCCATAGGCTATGGATGGACCATAGCAACCTTAGTTCTTCATACAGGAAAAATATTGGAAATTGTAATGTTTTTTTTTAATCCATATTTTCCACAAAAATAAATGTATCAAGGTGAACCAAAAACAAAACTGTTAAAAATAGATGTGACTTGATCATTAAAACTTAATTTAGAACAATATACGGTTTTGCCACTCTACAGAGTGTCTTAAACTTATGGTAAAAAACATCTTTTTGTTTAAACCTGTATATTATAAACGTACGTGTATTTTTTAGTAATTTTTAAAATGTGAGCGATTCTCCATTAATGTATCTACAATATTCTTTAATATTTGTTTAAATCCGAAATCAAATAAAAAAGTTATTTGCCATTGAAATGCATCGAAAATTTGTGTGGATCGATTATTTTGCCTGTGAGTGTATTTAAGAATTCTCTGCAATTTTTAAAACCTGCAACATTTTTTTTTGAGTAGTTCAATAAAACCATGAAAGTTATCAAAAATCAATTTTTTTAACAAAATTTAAATATTTCCTTAACTGAGGCGATTCTAATGAAATAAAACAAAATTACTGACTCACTAAGTGTATATATATATGTAGCTGCAGTTTTTAAGAAAAATTATTTGTTAAGAAATTTCTTGTTATATGATAATTATTATTATTAATTCATTATTTTAAACAATTCAATAAAAACAATCTGCAGCTTTTAAAAATTGCAAAATATACCTCTTTAAATGTACAGGGTGATTCCAAATTGAGGTAAGTATTTTAGGTTTTGAAATACAGGGTGTTAAACATGCAAATAAAAACAAACATTTACATCTAAAGATTTATTTTACAACATAAAAACAACTTAAATATACTTAAAAATAACATCCTTTTTATCGGCCACTGTCTGTAATTCTAACTTAACAGGACACTGCAACCAAAAACTTAACAGCTCCTCAGTATAGCCAATCAAAAAGTAAACTTTACGTGCATTAATAGCTCTATGCACAATTCCAGCAACTCTAATAATGTTGTGTTGTCGTTTTATTATTATCTCACTCACAAATAGGTTATGCCAAGTGCCTGATACGAATTTTCTAATAAAAACGTCCTCTACTGCGGTTTCTGATGACCGTAGACCACCCTGCAAATTAGCTGAAACATAAGATGCAACACATTGAAATCCATATTTATTGCCGGATAGAATTTGTTAACTCACAAGTATTCCAAGAATTCCAGGTTTTTCTATGCGCTATTTCGTGGGGAGGGTTTGCCATTTCATATGTTAAGGGAAAATCTTTTTTCGGTGTTATCCTGTAACGTCCAGCCTGTACTTTGCAACATACTGAAGTTGTGTGAAGTAATCGGACAAGTTGGGTGTTTATTTGGGTGTTTGAAATGACCTAAGAGAAATATTAGGTTATTATTAATTTATTTTTATTATATACGTACGTTTTTTAATAAAGACGTCATGGTGAAAATGTGTTTTTATTGGAAAAAATAATTTTTTGACAGCATAAAAATCTTTGGTTATGTAGTCATAACCACAAAATAATTTGATTCTCTTGCGATGTTGTCAGTTGTATAAATCAGTAATAAAAAAAGGAACTTAATATTAATTATTTTACTGGAACATTCTAATTATTTTAGGTCCGCGTTTATTTCAAAAATTACTACAAAATTACGAAAATTAAAATTTAAATATATATCTTATTTAATGTCTGAAAAAAATTATGTGACAACAATGTTAGTATTATTTACAATTTTCTTCTATGATGTGAAAGTAAATTAATCTTACGAAAATAGTCATTTAAACAGGGAAAATCTCTATTCAGGGTTTCTAATAGTGCAAGAATGTAATAGTACAAATAAGAGATTATATTACAACATATAAATTAGATTAAAATGAATGCATAAAAATAAAAACAAAACATATGTTAATTAATTACTTTATCAGCTATTTACAGCAATAAAAACAAAATGGAACAAAAAGGTTTGTTTAAATGTATTACAAGTGTGTATAGTTAAATTATTTCTTTATAGGAATAAGAACTGTGGGTGATGGTATGGACAATGCTTTATTGTCATTTCCTGAAACCCTCAATAATGCTATAACTTTTAATGCAAATTTAAAATCATCAAAACAAATACTTAAATCTCTACAACCTGTAATACCTACCTCTAATATTGTACAGCTAGTTCCAAAATATTTCCCAAAGGAGCAAAAAGCACCAAAGGACTTGTTTAAAAAGGGCAGAGAGCCCAAATTTGTACCATACGAGCCCTATAAGGCTGCTGTAGAGCCCATGGTAGCCCCCATAAGCAATAAAGTTGTTTTCGAGAGCAAATCCACAAAGAACAATGTTGAAATTCAGCAATTGGTGAATCAAATGGCTGATATGCGGCAAGAGGAAATGGATAAAATGAAATTGACAGCTTTAGAAAAAGGTGACAATTTTATAGCAAGGGATTTGTGGGAGAAAGAGAAGGAGTGTTACAATAATGATATTAAAAATCTCAGGGAGACTAACTCACATCTGGAAAATCAGCTAAAATTCCAAGCTCAAGTAAGAAAAAAAAATTATTTTTATGTAAATTTTTAAAAAAAAAGTAATAATATATTATGGACAATATACAAGTATAAAAATGTCTTAACATACTTAATAAATTAATAAAAAAATAATGTATTATTCTAGGTATACCTATAGGTACATATATATACTATAGTTTTTAAGGTACCTAACCTTTGAATACAATAATCTTAACTATTTAAATAATTAAGATTATCTATCTGTTAGTTTAACAGTACTTTCATCTTATTTTCTAAAAATAATACAATATACAGTGTGTCCACGGATGGACTTAACTAGGTATAGGTACTTATTATAATATTTATTTTCAATTTTTCGAGGAAAAGTCATTTTTCATCATTTCTTTTGCTTGTTATATAAATACGATTTGCGTTGAAAAACATCCATTTTGTTGTACAGGGTGAGCAAAAATACAGATTTTCAAAATTAAAAATTTTTGAATATTTTTTTTTTGAAGCGCTAATATACAGAGCTGGTAAGGAGAAATCAAAAACTCATATGAAGTTTTTTATAATAAATATTTGTAGTCATGTCAGTTGAAAGCAACAACCTTGATTCATAATCACAAAATTTCTACAAAATAATAGGACCACTCAAGATAGGACCTGAATTGATTTTATTTTTAACAACAAATATCTTAGAAACAATAACTCACATGAAAAAACTTTATTTGGCTTTTTGGTTTCTCCTTACAAGCTCTTCATATTAGACCTTAAAAAAATATATTTAACAATTTTTAATTTTGGAAAATCTACAATTATTGTATTTTTTTGCGCACCCTGTATAACAAAATAGAACTTTCTCATCGTGAATGGTATTTATATAACAAGCAGAAGAAATTATGAGGATTGACTTTTCTTTGAATAATCGAAAATAAATATTTTTACAAATACATAGTATAGTTAAGTCCATCCATGGACACATACAGTACTGTATATGGTCCACAAGTTTCTACTTACCATTGCTACCATTCCCCTTTAATATTGGAGCTACAAAGCTGGTTAAATTTTCTAATTGGTGACATTTTTTTAAACGGTAAAAACAGAAAAGCAATTGAACGTCAAGTATCCGAAAGTGCTTAGTTATTGTCTAAAACTTTTAAAATATATAAAATATATCTTCGGGGTGTTTTATTAAAAAAAAATTATTTTTGTGAAAACCGACTTGTTTTTCTGTTTTTAACATTTTAATCAGAAGAAAAAATGCCACCAATTCGCTAATTTACCGACTTTCTAGCTCCAATAATAACAAAGTTAGCAATGGTAAGCAGATAACTTTGGACACCCTGAATATATTTATTTCTCTATGCATGGGTATATTGTTTATTTAAAGAGCTAGAAGGTCCGTTAAATTAGACGAAAAATGCGTTACAAGTCTATTAAAATGACATTTAAAAATTGAAAAAAAAAATTCACATTTATCCACAATTTTATACAATTTGTGATTTTTTTTTGCCTACTAGATTTGAGTCACCACCACCATATTGTAATTTTACATGATTAGGTATAAAAAAAATCAAGAAATCCAACAATCCAAATTATGGCGGCCATTATAAAAACAAAAGATGGTAATGGTAACTCAAGCAAAGAAATTGAACAAAAATGTAGAAATAACGATTTTTAGTTTTGAAAGGGTATTCGTTTTTTTTAATATTTTGAGAATCGCCGGCTTTTTTAATGGGGCTTAATTTAATGGACTTGTAATTACGCAACTCTTTATAATTAAATTGACATGTTAGCTCTTCAAATAAAAAATACCCTTTAAAGTATACACATGGAAGAATACTTGGTGCACCCTGTAGGTATATGTTTTATACATAAAAAGTAATTAATACAATAATAACGAATTATTGTATTACCTATATTCAAAAAATAAAACAAAACTAGCGTTATATTGATAGATAGATAGATAACCTAAAGTGGGGTGTGGAGTCAGTGGCGTAGCGACAAATTTCGGGCCCCCCCGCGAAAATCCTTACTGGGTCCTCTGATTTCAGGTATTTTTTACATGGTTTTATATTGGAAATAAATACATCCGGTGACATGATTTTTTAAATTATTTATAAACGAAAAGTAACAAAAAAATAATTAAAAAAAAATAAGGTTCTCCACTGTACCTACTTATAAATTATAAGTAAAATAATAGAAAATAATAACATATTTTTTTAACATAAGAAAATAACCTTAAACTATAATAATTTTATCAGGCATCCTTGACTAGGTATATTTAGTTAATAATATTTACTCAGTAACTATTAAACTCTCTATAATATTAAACTAACCAATAATAAGAGAAATACTTACATATAAATACTAGACCACTTTGTGCTTACCACAGCTGACCGGCGAGAAACGCATGTAAAACAGTGGAAAAATAAAAAATCAGAAGCAGTCACAAATAAGAACCTACTTGAACCAATACGAATATAAAACAAAAACAAACTAACAACTTGTGAATCACAATCGTCAAAATTTTAGGGGTTCGCAAAGAGAACGCTTCAGAACTGTCAGAATAATACGCATTAGTGATGTCGTATTTCGAATTAAAATATTCGTTTAATCCGAGTTTTGAGATATTCGGATGCATTCGAATAATGAAATATTTTATGGAATCGGAATCGGATTCGGAATAATTTCGTATCCTCCTATGAAAAATCCGATTTCGGAATCCGAAATTCGGATGAATTGCATTCGGTATCAAAATTTATTGTTTATACCGTAGCCCTCTAGTTTTTACCAACCGAACTCGATGACGACTCATACGTTAAAAAAAAATGAAAACTAAATAGTTAAATGTCAACTACCAATAGGGAACACCATTTAAAATTATATTATATTAGATATACCTAGGTATGTATTGCCTAATATTATTTACTTAATTTTTGATATATTTATAATAAAATGACAGTTTTAATTTAAAATTAGTTAATTAAATCAAATCGGTTTCGAGTTTAAAGGTATTTATTTATAAACTTTGTTGAAATGCCGCGAGTGTTACTGCTACTGGCTTACTCGGAAAAAAAATGTGAATTCGGAATAGGATGATTAATCCGAATATTGAAATATTCCGATTCCGGATAATCCGAATATCTAAATCATCCGAATATCTGCATTTAGTTATGCGTATTACGCATAACTAAATGCGCATATCTGTTTAAGAGTTAGGCGCATGTTTCCAAGTTCTGAATCGTTCCTGCGTAAACCCGCTGTCAATTGTTAAATAAGCGCGATTTTTAAAATTCATCAAAAGGTTCCTTTAGATGTTTTACATTTATGTTGTGATGGTAGGCCAATAATATCAAGTACCTACCTACATTTTAGTAAATGATGATATTTTTAATTAATCATTCATTATTATTCAATTTTTAGTATAAGTAAGATGGAAATAAGTATTTTAATGTTTTGGGGCAAGTATCGGCCGGACCCCCTACGAGGTTAGGGCCCCCCGCTTGGCGGGCGTTCACGGTACTGTCGCTACGCCACTGTGTGGAGTATGGTACCCAAGGAGGAAATTTTAGTTCAAAGTACATTAGATGCACAACTCTGTATTTGCAGTGATTTTAAGAAAATAAAAAAAACATGAAAAACCGCTCATAAGATCATTTTTGAAAAAAAAATGCAAAAATTGTATAGACGTGCTTTTGCATCATTTTTATTAAAAAAGTAAAAAAAAATGCTCTAAAATTAGGTATTTTAGTAAATAATTGTAATCAAAAGATTTAAAAACATAGTTTTGCATCTTCCTCGTTTAAAGACCAAGTTTTGCAAGTGCAAAGTGCAAATACCAAAAAATAACAATTAATCAGGTGATTGTTATGTCGTCACGTAATGCCTATACCGTGTTTTGCATCCGACAGGAAGAAACAAATACCAAGTTTTGCAT